GCCCTTCATGCTAAAAACTCTCAATAAATTTGGTATTGATGGAACATATCTCAAAATAATAAGAGCTATTTATGACAAACCCACAGCCAATATCATACTGAATGGGAAAAAAGTGGAAGCATTCCCTTTGAAAACTGGCACAAGACAGGGATGCCCTTTCTCACCACTCCTATTCAACATAGTGTTGGAAGTGCTGACCAGGGCATTCAGGCAGGAGAGAGAAATAAAGGGTATTCAATTAGGAAAAGAGGAAGTCAAATTGTCCCTGTTTGCAGATGACACAAATTGTGTATTTAGAAAACCCCATCATCTCAGCCCAAAATCTCCTTAAGCTGATAAGCAACTTCAGCAAAGTCTCAGGATACAAAATCAATGTGCAAAAATCACAAGCATTCTTATACACCAATAACAGACAAACAGAGAGCCAAATTGTGAGTGAACTCCCATTCACAATTGCTTCAAATAGAATAAAATACCTAGGAATCCAACTTAAAAGTGATGTGAAGGACCTCTTCAAGGAGAACTACAAACCACTGCTCAAGGAAATAAAAGAGGACACAAACAAATGGAAGAACATGCCATGCTCATGGATAGGAAGAATCAATATCGTGAAAATGGCCATACTGCTCAAGGTAATTTATAGATTCAATGCCATCCCCATTAAGCTACCAATGACTTTCCTCATAGAATTGGAAAAAACTAGTTTAAAGTTCATGTGGAACCAAAAAAGAGCCCGCATTGCCAAGACAATCCTAAGCCAAAAGAACAAAGCTGGAGGCATCATGCCCCCTGACTTCAAACTATACTACAAGGCTACAGTAACCAAAACAGCATGGTACTGGTACCAAAACAGAGATATAGACCAATGGAACAGAACAAAGCCCTCAGAAATAATACCACACATCTACAACCATCTGATCTTTGACAAATCTGACAAAAACAAGAAATGGGGAAAGGATTCCCTGTTTAATAAATGGTGCTGGGAAAAGTGGCTAGCCATATGTAGAAAGCTGAAACTCGATCCCTTCCTTACACCTTATACAAAAATTAATTCAAGATGGATTAGAGACTTAAATGTTAGACCTAAAACCATAAAAACCTCCAGAAGAAAACCTAAAGCAATACCATTCAGGACATAGGCATGGGCAAGGACTTCGTGTCTAAAACACCAAAAGCAATGGCAACAAAAGCCACAATTGACAAATGGGATCTAATTAAACTAAAGAGCTTCTGCACAGCAAAAGAAACTACCATCAGAGTGAACAGGCAACCTACAGAATGGGAGAAAATTTTTGCAATCTACTCATCTGACAAAGGGCTAGTATCCAGTTCTTTGTCTACAAAGAACTCAGACAAATTTACAAGAAAAAAACAACCCCATCAAAAAGTGGGCAAAGGATATGAACAGACAATTCTCAAAAGAAGACATTTATGTAGCCAACAAACACGTGAAAAAATGCTCATCATCACTGGCCATCAGAGAAATGCAAATCAAAACCACAATGAGATACCATCTCACACCAGTTAGGATGGTGATCATTAAAAAGTCAGGAAACAACAGGTGCTGGAGAGGATGTGGAGAAATAGGAACACTTTTACACTGTTCGTGGGACTGTGAGTTCAACCATTGTGGAAGACAGCGTGGCCCTCAGGGATCTAGAACTAGAAATACCATTTGACCTAGCCATCCCATTACTGGATATATACCCAAAGGATTATAAATCATGCTGCTATAAAGACACATGCACACGTATGTTTATTGCGGCACTATTCACAATAGCAAAGACTTGGAACCAACCCAAATGTCCATCAATGACAGACTGGATTAAGAAAATGTGGCACATATACACGATGGAATACTATGCAGCCATAAAAAAGGATGAGTTCATGTCCTTTGTAGGGACATGGATGAAGCTGGAAACCATCTTTCTCAGCAAACTGTCGCAAGAACAGAAAACCAAACACCACATGTTCTCACTCATAGGTGAGAATTGAACAATGAGAACATCTGGACACAGGAAAGGGAACATCACACACCGGGGCCTGTCGTGGGGTGGGAGAAGTGGGGAGGGATAGCATTAGGAGATATACCTAATGTAAATGACAAGTTAATGGGTGCAGCACACTAACATGGCACATGTATACATATGTAACAAACCTGCATGTTGTGCACATGTACCCTAGAACTTAAAGTATAATAAAAAATAAATTAAAAAAAGAACCAAATGGAAATTTTAGAACTGAAAAGTACACTGAAGACCTCAGAGAACTTTTATTTTTGTTATATCTATTTATATTTACTGTATTAGAAATTTTAATTAGAAAAGATTTAAAAATATTTATTCATTTTAAAGCAACAATAAACCGTTTACATGTAACATAACTGACTTTTTAAATAAAAAATAACTGTATTTCCAAAACAAAATACTAAGAAAAGTGGTGTCACATCACTCTTGACCTCTTCGATGCCTAGTTCAGCAGAGGCCGTCTGGTCCTCTGGCCTGCTTCTGCACTCACTCTGTTGCAGTACACTGTTTTGAGTCAAGTATTTCTCTGCCTGATGCTGAAAGGCTACATCACAAAGATGTAGATGGAAAATAGAGGAATATTCTCATAGGCTTTCCAGACCATTGAGATAATTCTTTGACTCTACATATGAAAACTCCAAGAGGCAGTTTTTTTAAAAAGGTTAGTTACCATGTGGCTTCTGAAGAGTCCCAATAAACTTTTTCTACCTTTACACTAAAATCCACTGGTCTGCCTAAAGCACTTTGAATGGATTTCATAATATCTTGCGTCAGTCATGTCTTAGTCCATTTGGGCTGCTGTAAGAAAACACTATAAACTGGGTGGCTTGTAACCAACAAACATTTATGTCTCACAGTTCTGGAGGCAGGGAGGTCCAAGATCAAGTCACCAGCAGATTGAGTGTCTGATGAAGAGGGCTGCTTCCTGCCTCATAGCACCTTCTTGCTGTATCTGCACGTGGTAGATGGGGCAAGGGATCTCTCTTCAAATCCCATTCATGACAGCTTCATCTTCATGACCTCATCACCTCTCAGAGGCCTCTGTTCCAAACACCGTCACTTTGAGGGTTAGGATTTCAGCATGAGTTTTGGAGGGGACACAAACATTCAGACCATAGCAGACCATTTGGAGAGTATTGGCTTACTGAACCATGCAGCAACTCCCAAGTGTTAGCACACCACTGTTAAAAACCCAACCCCCAAACCCCTACCTTTCTTAACATCTACAGGGGCCTCATCAGAAAAGCCTTGGAGTAAGGAAAAGCTGCAAAGCTCACGGTGGTTGAGAAAAGTTTTCCAGAATTCTGATTTTTCTTGAAAGCACAAATGTTGTTGTTGGCAACCATTACCATCAGTTGTTTGCCTGGAAGTGACAGATTTGTTTCATTCGTTTTGGAGAGTATGGTCAGCCAGATGCCCAAGCCTGGGTAGCTAGCTGTGTCTGTCTGTCAGTTTTCTGTTCCACAAGAAGCAGTTAGTCCAGCTCACAGCTCAGACAGCTGCCCAGAGGTTTTCTGTTAAACAGCCATGAGATACCCGTGTGCAACAGAATTGCTGTATGCTTCTCATTTCTTCACAAAGGATATAAAAAAGTGTGCTCAAGGACCAAGATTTAAGAAAATTCGTATTTACTACATTATCAAGGACATTTTATTTATTTATTTAGAGATGATCTTGCTCTGTCACCCAGCTGAAGTGCACTGGCGCAATCATAGCTCACTGCAGCCTTGAGTTCCTGGGGCTGAATGAAGCCTTCCACCTCAGCCTCCCGAATAGCTGGGACTACAGGTGTATGCCACGATACCAGGCAAATTAAAAAATTTTTTTATAAAGGCAGAGTCTTGCCATGTTGCCCAGGCTGGTTTCAAACTCCTGGGCTCAAGTGATTCTCCCACCTCAGCCTCCCGAAAGTGCCGGGATTACAGGTGTGAGCCGCTGTGCTTGGCTCATCAAGGGCGTTGTTAAAAGGAAACTATTTTTACTGGTTTGTTGATTGATTGATTGATTGATTGATTGATTGCAAAGTGTCTGGTGTTTAAGAATATGATGATCACTTGTGTAGTTTGCTGCTGGTGGGAGCACTCCAGCATTTTACCTATTGCTGTTTTTGCACCATCGGTGCAAAATATATATAGTAAAAATTATATATGTGCAAAATTAATATAGTAAAAAACGACCATGATGGCTTAGTGTTGTCGTGAATATAGTTTGAGCTGTGGGTCATTTGCAAGCCTGTTGTAGGCCTTGCGTTTGTGGAGAACACAAGTGGGAGAAACAGGTTCTTTCTTCTTTAACCAAGGCCACCCTCGCAAATGCGAGGGAAAAGTCAGACTCAGCGATGACTTTGGTATTTGTTAAACGTTTTTATTTCGAGCATTTTGACCAGCCAGCTTCAGGGACTGAAGGAAGAGAGCTCAATCACTTAGTAACATGCAGTGCAGGTTTGAAAAGTTGGTGACTGACTTAACTTGAAATAATTGAAGAAAGTTGAGGTTTGTGGAAGAATTGGAATAATACAGACTTCTCAATTTTTAAAAATATTGTAGCACATGCTAGCTGATTTCTCCAGAATCTTTCGGGACTTTGGCTCTTAATTGTACCTATTTTTTGCTTTAAGAAATGAATGTTTTGGCTGGGCACAGTGGCTCACGCTTGTAATTCCAACACTTTGGGAGGCCAAGATGAGAGGATTACTTGGAGTCAGAAGTTCAGGACCAGCCAGAGCAACTAAGTGAGACCCTGTCTCTACAAAAAAAAAAAGAAAAAAAAAAAAAGCCCAAACCTAGCCAGGCATGGTGGTGCCTGGTTCCATGGTTCCGGCTCCTCAGGAGGCTGAGGTAGGAAGATCAGTGGAGCCCAGGAGGTTGAGGCTGCCGTGAGGTGTGACTGGGCCATTGCACTCCAGCTTGGGCGACACAGCAAGATCTTGTCTCGGAAAAATGAAATAAAATAAATGTTTTTATATTTTATTAGGCAGATCAGCAGTTGGTAAAGAAAGGAAAAAGCAAAGTTGGGGACATGTTGGAAAAAGCAGCAGAGTTACTGATGAGCTGTTTCCGGGTCTGTGCCAGCGACACGTGAGTAAGGACTTGAGGACCGTCGGACGCTGTCGGTCGTGGTTTTTGTCGCAGTGTTCACCCTTTCTGGCCTGTGTTTATTGTTGACGTATATTTTACTTCTACACATATTATAATCCCACAACCATCATTATTTTTGCTTTAAAAAGTTGATTGTTTTGTAAAAGAAATAAGAGCTGAGGGAAAAAAAAGTCTTTTCATTTGCCAACATTTGACCATGCCTGAAGCTCCTCTCTGCAGGAACCAGTTTCTGTCTGGTGCCATTTCCCTTTCCTGAAGCACTTTCTTCCGCATTTGCATTTGTTGAGGGTCTGAGGGCAGTGAATCCTCTAAGCTTTCATTTTTCTGAAACTGTCTTTATTTTTTTAAGAAATTTTCTCTTTTTACCAGTGAAGAAGATTACCGTCATTTTTTAAGGCTCCTTTTGCTACATGGAGTCTTGTGGGTTGACAGTTTTTTTCCTTTCGGCACTTTAAAAATGTCATTCCATCTGGTTTCCTTTGCTTCTGATGAGTCCTTGCCGTCGTTCCCTGTATAGAATGGGTGTTTTTGCTCTGGCTGTCATTTTCTCTTTATCATTTGGCATCAGTGATTTGGCTCTGATGTGCATAGTTGGCTTTATTTTTCTTTAATTTCTCCTGTTCAGGGTTCATTGGGCTTCTTGTATTTGTAAGTTGATGTTTTTAAAAATTTAATATTTTACATTCTTCAACTACTTTTGGCCCCATTTTTTCTCTTCTCTTTCTGTGATTTCAACTGCATATGTGTTAAATGCTTGATATTATCCCACACAGGCCACTGTTAGTCTCTTTGTTTATTTTTTAATCTTTTTTTTTTTTTTTGAGACAGTCTTACTCTGTCGCCCAGGTTGGAGTGCAGTGGCGCCATCTCAGCTCACTGCAACCTCCGCCTCCTGGGTTCACACCATTCTCTTGCCTTAGCCTCCTGCATAGCTGGGATTACAGGCGCATGCCACCTCGTCCAGCTAATTTTTGTGTTTTTAGTAGAGATGGGGTTTCACCATGTTGGCCAGGCTGGTCTTGAATTTCTGACCTCAAGTGATCCACCCTCCTCGGCCTCCCAAAGTGCTGGGATTATAGGCATGAGCCACTGCACCTGGCCTCAATCTTTTTTTTCCTCTCTCCTCCATTTTAGGTAATTTGTATTGACCTGCTTACAAGTTGACTGATCTTTTCTGCCATTATTTATTTTTAAACTCTCAACTTTCCATCTGATTCTACTCTAGAGTTTCCATTTTTTCTTCTAAAACTCTCATCTCTTCACCCAGTATATAATTACATTTATTTGTGAGATTTAGGAAATTTTAAAACAAAGAAAGGTTATCAAAGGTATCCATATGTAAATAAACAAAAACTATTGTTCCCAGAGAGTAGTTGTTTTGGTCAACAAAACAACTGGGGAATGTAAGAAAAGAGATTTACTTGGCTCACAGTTCTGCAGGTTGCACAAGAAGCATGGTGCTCGTATCTGCTTCTGGTAAGGCCTCAGACTGCTTCCACTCATGCTGGAAGATGAAGAGGAGCCCACCACATGGCAAGAGAGGAGTCAGGAGATAGAAGGGTAGGCGCCGGGCTCTTCTACAACCAGCTCTCTGGGAACGCTCACAGGAGCCAGAGCGAGAACTCATTCACTATGGCAAGGACAGCACCAAGCCATTCATGAGGCGTTTGCCGCCAGGACCCAAAAACCTCCCATTAGGCTCTGCCTCCAACAATGGGGATCGTGTTTTAACATGAGGTGTGATGTGGCCAAAAATCCATATCTAAACAGTAGCAGTAGCCCAGCCTCTCTTTTCACTCACTGTGTCTGTTGCCAATAAACTTGGTAGCCTCAAAAGATGGGAACTTTTCCTGTTGGGTGTCATAGATCCAATCCATGAAACCAAAAGTAAGTGTTGAGCAGAGCAAGCTGTATGTAAAGGCCAAGGAATGAAGAAGCAGGAGTGTGGCTCACAAATCAACTTCTCTACTCCTGAGGGGTGAGGGGATTGAAATAGAGGGTTTCTTGAATGAAGGGGTTGGACATTGAAAGCAAGGGGAAGAATATTAATCGCTTTTCTGGAAATGGGCGGTGAACTTCTGGGAGCTGAAGCACTGCCATCTTTTTGTCCTTTTATGGCTTCTTCTCATCATTGTTGTGGTGATTGTCAGCCGTTGTGGCACTGGCGGGAGTGTCACTGAGCATGAAAATGAGATTGTAATGAAGTTGGAGGCTCTGCAAAGACTTCCACTTAGCATCCTGCTGATCTTAGCTGGTTTAACCAAGAGGGGAGCCTCTGACCTCAGGCGTCCTATTGCTGAAGATAACCAGAGTTTGAATTGTGCAACTGTTCAGCCAAGCCTACAAGATGTATAGTGCTGTGGGGATAACATGGCCTCCCTACCCAGCCTCGCTTCGGAACCTTCCTACCAAGGCTGGACTGTAGAAAAGTCCTTCCTCTGCCATGGCGCTTTCCCACTGGGGCCTCCCATGAGTGCCGTTTCCTTTGCTGGAAGGTTCTCCTCGACTCCTGGCTGTCTACACTCGTTTAAAGGTTTCCACCCTCTCTAAAGCCTCTCGCTGCTGGACTTCACAGTGGATCAGATTTCCCTTTTATAAACATTCATAGCAGACTGTACGTTTCTTTCACTGCGTTTACCGAATGATTGATGACTGTGTAGGTGATGTGTATTTGATTGCCAAGTGCGTGAGGGCCTGGGCCTTCTCCATCACTCACGCTCCTTGCACTCCAGGAGCTCAATCAGTGTTTCTTAAATGAATACTTGAAATTTTGCTTGGTGGTATATTCCTGCACAGCAGTGATCTTCATGACCTTTGATTAGGCAGTGGCTTCTCAGATACGACAACAAAAGCATAAGCAACCAAAGGAAAAAATAAATTGGACTTCATCAAAATTAAAAACTTTAGACTTCAAAGGACATTCTCAAAAAAGTGAAAAACAATAATAAACTATCAAATAATACATCTGGTAAGGGCCTAATATCCAGAATATATAAAGAACTATTACAACTCAACAGTAAAAAGACAATCTAATTTTAAAATGGTTAAAGAATTTGAAAAATCTGCCAAACAAAATACATAAGTGGCCAGTAAGTGCGTGAAAAGATGCTCAGCATCATTAGCCACCAATGACTAATGCATCAGTCACTCAAAATGCAAATCAGAACCTCCGAGAGCTGCCAGTCCACACCCAGTGGTAGCACTGTAATCAGAAAGATGGGCAGCGCCAGCCAGGATGCAGAGACTGGAGCCTCATACACATTGCCAGGAGAACAAAACCAGTGCAGCTGCTGTGCAGAAACGGGAAGGCAGTTCCTCAAAGTTGAATGTAGAGCTACCGTGTGACCCAGCATTTCCACCCCGAGGGGACACTCAGAAGACAGAGGCAAATCCCCAGTGACATCTTTCCCCTTGGGGTTTGTTTTCGTCACATACTCTCCAATAGAGGTCATTGTTCCTGGTGCCAGACCAGCTACGATATTACCATACATGCAGCATTTTATGTGACTTACATAGTACTTGTGTGTTTTGTTTGGTTTTCCCGTAACTCTTTGAAGTCATAGAACAGTATTATTATTTGTCTTCGTTTTCAGATGAGGAAAATGAGACCTTGAGAGACTCTTGTTTGAGGTCATACACCTCGGGAGTGATAAAAGTCACAGAGCTGCTTAGAGCAGCTCACAGGCAGTTATACAACAGGCTTTAACAGTTTAAAGTTGTATGTTTACATTATTTTAAGTGTTTCTATACGGACACATTTTGGTCTTTAAGAGTAATTTTATGTTCTCTGGCTTGTAAACCACCTGCTTGTTTTCTGTACTGGGCACTTTTGTATTTTTGTGCCTTGACTCTGAGTGATTTTATCATTTTGTTGTGTACTTCCATAAACCTAGATGGCGTGGCCTAGTACACACCACCGCTGTGTGGAGTAGCCTGTGGCTCCCAGGCTGCCAGGAGCAAGAGCAGCCCTTGTGTGGCCGCACTGAATGCTGTAGGCAACCGGAACACAATGGGAATTATTTGTTTCTAAACATATCTAAACACCAAAAAGATGCAGTAAAAATACAGTATGAGAATCTGTAGGACCGCCATCTCAATGGTCATCTGTAGTTGACCAAAATGTTGTATAACACGTGACTATTTCTAAGTTAATTGCAGACAGAGGCACACCTCACCTAGGTGCTTCAGTTTCTGTTTCTTCAGTCTTTTGAGGTAAATTTACATGCAGCGAACTACCTACAGTAGTATCTGTCTGCTTGCTGTTGAGGTATAGGACAGTGAACTACCTACAATATTATCTGTCTGCTTGCTGTTGAGGTTTAGGACATGATTAACTACCTACAGTATTATCTGTCTGCTTACTGTTGAGGTGTAGGACATGGTTGTCAACCTGGAAACTTCCCTCATCCCTCATTTGGGGCAGGCCCTTTCTGCTGTCTGGATTTGTTCCCCGGTGGGTCACTTCCTGCCTTTCTGGTGACTTCATGTAAATGGACGCCCACAGTGTGTACTTTTTGTGTCTTCCTTGGTGGGACTCATCCTCTGTGTGTTTTACTGGTTTGTTTTGTTGTCCTGATGAGAAGGTATTTTTCCATTTTTCTTTTTTTTGTTTTTGTTTTTGTTTTTTGAGACGGAGTCATGCTCTGTCACCCAGGCTGAAATGCACTGGCCCAGGTTCAAGTGATTCTTCGGCCTCAGCCTCCTGAGTAGCCAGGATTACAGGCACGCGCCACCATGCCCTATTTTTCCATTTTTCAAAAATGGTTTATAACAGTTAACTTTTACACATTGTTGCTGCAAACGAGGCAGTTTTTAGCTGGTGACGCGGAGGGAGGATGTTACTCAAGTAGGTAATTGGGATTTTCCTGGTTTGCTTTTTCTTTCATTTTTACCCATCAGGTAAGACATCTTTTTCATAATGTTATTTTGTTTGATGAATATGACTTGATATGAATATGACTTGAGCTTTGGTACTTTATCTCAAGATATTAATTTGTTTAGGCAGTTTATTTTGTGAAATAAACATTTTATTTGCTATGTAACTTAAAAAAAATTGTTTCCCCATAGCCGTGCTGGAATAGAGGACTCTAAGAAGTGGGGCATGCTGTTTCTGGTGAACCAGTTGTTCAAAATCTACTTCAAGGTGCGCTTCTGTTTGAATTCTGTCTGTCTTTCCAATTTTCCATTCTCCTTGTCCTCCCACATACCACATATGGTTAGCTGGCCTCCCTGGCGTTGCCTGCGAAATGGTCAAAACTGTATTCCTAGTCTTAATAGCGAACCTTTGTTGAATGCCTGCTAGGGGCAAGGCACTGTTCTGAATGTCTCCTGTTGACAACCGGCCCTCTGAGGTTAGCGCTCCCGGCCCCGGGGAGACGAAGGCACCTGCATGTGAAGCAGCTGGCCCGGCATGGTGAGCTTGGACTTGCAGTGCAGGCGGTTTCACTCCAGAGCCTTTTGTCTTCTGTGGTCATAATTAACTATGGAAAAGCAGGCATATAGATGGATAGATGGATACAAAAACCATTGCCACATAAAGTCAGTCAGGTGAAGAGCAGCCCATCATGTGTCAGCAGCTGGGCCTTGTGCCTTCTGTCCAGGGCTTTCCACTCCTGTAGAGCACCCCACCTTCCTGCCGGTGTTGCGTAGCACAGGCTTCTGCAGGGCTGTGCCACCTGGAACGGCTTCCCAGAGCCTCCCAGGGTGAATGTCGTCTACAATGGCTGCTTTCTGTTTTGGTTTTTATTATTATATAAATAATTTTTGTGATATAATAGGTTTTGTAATTTGCATTTTGAGGAGACATGCATAGTAATTTGTTTTACCCGTTTTTGTTGTTTTTAAATATTTTAAATGGATTGTTATTCATTATAGATCAACAAACTCCATTTATGCAAACCCCTAATTAGAGCAATTGACAGCTCAAACCTGAAAGACGATTACAGCACTGCACAGAGAGTAACATACAAATACTACGTTGGACGCAAGGCCATGTTTGACAGTGACTTTAAGCAAGGTATGTTGCTAATCTCTTTTTTCCCAGTATTTTAAATAAGACGTTGCATTCTGAACAACTTTGAATAATATAGTTTCAGAGAACACAATTACTGTATTTTATTTTTAAGGGTAGAATATTTGTGTAAATACAGATCAACTTATATATACATATTTGACACCAAAGCTGATTAAATAAAGGGAAATTATATTGAAGGTTCTTAATCCACACTGGGCCTCTCAAGTGCATGCTGGAATCTCACAGGCATCGCAGACATCCTTTCTGAGTTCACTAAACATGACTGTTCTCGGAATAGAATGTAAATCATTGTTTTCTCTATTTGCCTTTTGACCCTGTAATAGATGCTGGTTATGTTGACATAGGAAATGGAGATTAGGACAACATTTAGTTCAGCGACTGACTTGAACCTACAAATCCCACATGGAATGACTTAGAAGCAGGGGATATGCCGTTGGACCTGGCGTCAGAGCTCACGTTTAAACAGCCTCGCGCAGTGTGTTGCTGCCACACCTGACATTATTGTATTAGTTTACGTTGGTAACTTTCTCAAGAACAAGAAACTAGTCCTTTCTTCTTTTTGTAATTTTTTATTGGCTGTCATGGCATCATTCTTTGTGATGTCTTCTGTTGTACTCAGACCAGACTTTAAACTCTTCTTCAGCTGTTTGCTGAGCACACAGCCCCAAGTACATGAAGCAACATAACTTTAGGCAATGCAAGATAAATAGTAGCCCTTTCATAAGGATGCTCTGGCTTTTTATTCTATGGGCTTGTATAGACTGACCATTTCCTTTCACAGTTTTTACTGTATAGGCTTATATAGTCTGACTGTTGATTTCCTTTCATAGTTTTTAGTAGATCTAGGGCTTTTAAAGAAGGGCTTTTCTTACCTGTTCCTCTCTTTTTTTTTTTTTTCTCTTAATATGAAGCATAAAGGTAGAGAAGCTTTTAAATTCTGTTCTATTGGATTTTATTAAGATACTGATTTTTTTTTCTTCCGAGGATTCATTAGGTGGTATTTTTGAATACCTAACATAGCCAGAAATGATTATTAATATTGATGTGACATATTCATAGTTTCTGACATCTTTAGAGCTAAAAAGTTTATTTAAGTCTGTATCATCCAACCCTTTTGTTTGACTGTAAAAGAAATAGAAAGCCATTGAGAGTGTGATGTTCCGAGATTACTGAGCGATTCTGTGTCCTCAAAAAGCCAGCGCTGGCCATAGATCTTCTGCCTTGTAGCTCTCAGAGATGTTGTTTTCCATTTTACTGCCAGGAATTCCCAGAGCCCTGATTGTATTTAAGTGGATAAAATGTCTGCAGAGATTGTGGTGATTTTCTTCCCTGTGATTTTATATTATTTATGTAAGAGAATATTTGGAGTATCTCAGTTGTTGTATACTTTCATTAATTTATTAATTTCAGAGATTTATACCCCACTAGATATTTTTAACTCCAACCGAAATATATTATTTGATGCAAAATGACTAAGGTTCCCTCAAAGACAGCAGAAAAATCTCAGCTTGCATTAACTATTAGAAAATGCATTTTTTAGCTGGGTACAGTGGCCCACGCCTGAATCCTAGCACTTTGGGAGGCTGAGGCGGGTGGATCACAAGGTCAGGAGATCGAGACCATGGTGAAACCCCATCTCTACTAAAAATACAAAAAATTAGCTGGGCGCGGTAGCAGGCGCCTGTAGTCCCAGCTACTCAGGAGGCTGAGGCAGGAGAATGGCGTGAACCCGGGAGGCGGAGCTTGCATCGAGCCGAGATCGCACCACTGCACTCCAGCCTGGGTGACAGAGCGAGACTCCATCTCAAAAAAAAAAAAAAAAAAAGAAAGAAAAATGCATTTTTGTACATCCAGGAGAATTTGAGATTACCTCGGGCAGTAGCAAAGGTACACTTTTTAGAGGCTAGGTTGCAAAAGTCAAACTGGCAGCGGGTGGGATACTGCAGACTCTGAGTGAATCCTTGTTCCTTGGTCTCAGCCCCACAGGGCTCCTTGTGGGTCATGGCTTTGTAGTTTGGAAGCGACACTGGCCCCACAGCATTCACGCTCACTGTTAAGACTGGATGTTTTTTGTGCCAATGTGGCCACACAGTTTAGGAGCAGAGGCAGTGTGTGGTCTCAGTGTGGGTTCCCTAGGCCTCAACCCAGACCCTAGGGCCTGTTGCTTCTGGTGACCCATTCTGCATAAGGGAGGGCCTCTGCAGCTCTGAGCATCTCTCTTCTCTTGTATTTGGGACTTAGTATCACTGTTCAGGAAGAACTTACATAAACAGGAACATCTTACTTTCCTAATTCTTGACCCAAACCCAGCCTTAGCAAAGCCTCTTCCCATCACCTCGGGAGAATGTGGAATCATTGTCCAGAAACCCCTGACGTTTCCTCTGCCTTCAGCTTTCCGGCCTCAGGACGAGGCTCAGCTGCTGCCTGTTCTGAGAGTTCCTCGTGCGGCTGAACTCTCCGCAGGCCTGTCATGTGCAGTTTGTAGGATTAATCTTGACAAGTAGAATTACTTTTGTATTTTGAAATCTATTAAATTCAAATCTGTTTTATATGAAATGGAATCCTTTTTTAAGATTGCTGTCAGGACAGAATTAATATACGTTAATAAGAATTTTTTAAAGCATGTGGTCATTTAAAATAGAAGATATATGATCACTAATTCTATGTTAAGCTGGAGGATGGTGTTTCACTAAGTTATTTTCATTCTGTTGAATTATGAGTGATTAAAATGTATTGTGGAGGTACATTTTTAAATATGTCTTTACATTTTTCATGAATGTAGAAATCATCTGAGCAGGGTCAAACTTTTAAAATGTTATCATAATGGCTTGCCAGATGACCTTAGGCAAATCAGAATCTCTGTGAAAGTTAGTTTCTTCAGTTTTTCTCTGTTAAGTAGGACTTCCCAGGCAGTTCCTGTTGAATTTGGGGTTACAGATTTTACTTAAGGAAAGTCATTGATCACAGAAATGAAACTGGGCTGATATTTTTTGAGATAATAAAGGGAGGGGGCTTTTGCCTTTTAAATCAGGAGACGGTGGTAGAATACGGAGCAGGAAGGGGCCTGAAGCAGGTGCGTTGGTCTCACACGTGCTGGCTCTGCCTTCTTTGCAGCCGAGGAGTACCTGTCATTTGCCTTTGAGCATTGTCACCGTTCTAGTCAAAAGAACAAAAGGATGATTCTGATCTATTTGCTTCCAGTAAAAATGCTATTGGTGAGTGATTGTTACTCCCTGTTTATAGATCCTGGTGTTTTCACGAAGTTGACAGCTGATAGGCTTTTTAAAACCCAGCAGACAGGTGGTTGATCACAGCCTGAGCTATGTAGGAGCACACCCCAGAATGAAGAAGGAACATGCACCGTGTGTGGCCGAAACCCAGAGCCTCATGCCTTACGCCTCCAGGTCCTTCTAGAAAAGCTTTCCCTGTGTCCTGTTTCCCTTTAAAGTATTTAGCTCTACAGTTTAATATTCATGTGACAAAATAAGTACCTATCATTTGTATTCCTCCCTTAAAACCTAAGTTAAAAGCAGTGGATTCACTGAGAAAGAAAAAATGTCATTTCAACCTCTCTCTGGGTATTTCATTTAGTTACTAAAATGTATTTTTGATACTTGAAATAACTGGCAAGTTAATTGACCGAGAAAAGCATTACACACAGCTGGCTAAAGCTTCTGTAATTCCGAATGGATTGTGATGGAGAAGTGCTGCTGTGGCCCTGCCCTCCCCACTTCTCACCCTGTTTAAGAGACAGCCAGTGTCAAATTCTTAGCTGATTCTTCTGGAAGCTACCTCCGTATTCCTAGATCACATGCTTATACTCACATTTCTTCAGTTATCACTCTCCTGTTGTAGAAATGCAAAGAAATGTGAGAAGGTCAAGATCAAGGTCACGTGTCATGGCGTGACGCACGTGTATTGCACCAGGTGTTCTGATTTCTAGACCAGTGTTGTTTTCCTAATGTACTGTGATGTGTTTCATCTGTGGACATCTAAGAAACTCAGGTTGCAATTTTCTTAAAACTTAATTCCTTGATATGAATGTTTATCAAAGACAATTTTGTCAAAAATGAAAGTGTTTTCATTCTGGAAAATTGACTCTGTCTTAGGGTCACATGCCCACTGTGGAGCTCCTGAAAAAGTATCACCTGATGCAGTTTGCGGAAGTAACCAGAGCTGTGAGGTAGAGTGTGCCGTCCTCTCTGTTTGGGGCTTTACAAGTGCAAGCCTGGTGAGAGTTGGCGTGGGAAGTAACCAGAGCTGTGGGGTAGAGTGTGCCGTCCTCTCTGTTTGGGGTTTTACAAGTGCAAGCCTGGTGAGAGTTGGCGTGCACGCTGTGTGAGAAACTCACCCTCCTTCTGACGCGTGTCCCCCCTCACCAGCGAGGGCAACCTGCTGCTGCTGCACGAGGCGCTGGCGAAGCACGAGGCCTTCTTCATTCGCTGTGGGATCTTCCTCATCCTGGAGAAGCTGAAGATCATCACCTACAGGAACCTCTTTAAGAAAGTGTAAGCGTTTCCCCAGCGCACTGGGCTCCCAGTGCGGCTCTCGGCAGAGCGGTCAGACGTCCAGGGCCGTTGCAGGCTAAGAAAGGAGGCTACCGTGTGGGCAGGGTCGTCATCTTTCTTCCGCTGTGTGGGATAAAATGAAGCCTCCGCCCACTGCCTGCTGGGGCCCTGCGCAGAGACACGTGAGTAGCACAAGCTGTGCCTCGGCTTCTGGGGGAGGTAAGCGGATTCTGTGTGAGAAGACGACCTGAGAACATCAGCCCTGAGAGCCGCGGTACCACGTTTCATCAGACCACATAGGACTCGCCACTCACTCCCCTCCCTTAGTCCTGACCAAGCAGCCCTCCCAGCCACTCCGCCTGTCACAAATGCAGACGCAGAGATCGTCATTCCTTTCCTCACATGTCTTTTGAGGCCTCGTCCCAGCAGGATCTCAGTTCAGTAAACTTCAGGCAAAGGCCAACTTTGTACAGAGCTGTGGGTAGCACATCACAAAGAGTAGGGGCCGTATTTCGCTGAATCAGTGAGACACAGCCCGTTGTCAGGTGCTTCCTGATTTCAGGGAGATTAAAATGTGAAAAAAAGGCACCTTAGATTAATGAAATATTTAGAAAATAATTAAAAACTGTATTTGTACTAGTGACTTTTTTAAGATTGAAAAGTCAAATTAGATTTAATAGCTCTTTGAGAGTGTATTTTAGAGTTTAATAGGTGGGAATTTTTGTGCTCCTTTAGAGCACTGGCTTATTAAAAGGTGCCTTTTCTTGGCTGCGGAGTGCTGCGTCCTGTCAGTAACCACAGTGCCCGTCTCCTCCCCTCTTCCAGGTATTTGTTACTGAAAACACACCAGCTGTCTCTGGATGCCTTTCTGGTCGCCTTGAAATTCATGCAGGTGGAGGACGTGGACATTGACGAAGTTCAGTGTATTCTGGCTAACTTGATATACATGGTGTGTGAGTCCTAGTTTTAATTTAAGCAGCTACTCACAGCAGGATTCAGACCAGAATTTGAAGCTTCAGTGTGGTGGTGTTAAAATTGTTAAAATATCTTTTGCTTTTATTGAAGGTATTTTTTTTGGTAGAACTAATTTTAGCCCAGGAAATACCATTCACCAGGACCTTAGGAGCATGAGGGGATGGATACTCTGTATGTTTGCATATTCTTTTTTTTTTTTTTTTTTTTTTTTGAGACAGAGTCTCGCTCTGTCGCCCAGGCTGGAGTGCAGTGGCGCAATCTCGGCTCACTGCAAGCTCCGCCTCCCGGGTTCACGCCATTCTCCTGCCTCAGCCTCCCGAGTAGCTGGGACTACAGGCGCCCACAACCGCGCCCGGCTAATTTTTTGTATTTTTAGTAGAGACGGGGTTTCACCGTGGTCTCGATCTCCTGACCTTGTGATCCGCCCGCCTCGGCCTCCCAAAGTGCTGGGATTACAGGCGTGAGCCACCGCGCCCGGCCTGTTTGCATATTCTTTACCGGCGGTACATCCCTCGGTATCTGTTGAGTCTCTGAACCCCCTCGGATACCAAAATCCCCATGTGCTGCAGTCACTGATAGGACGTAGTATTTGCATATGAGCTATGCACATTCTCCTGTATACTTTAAATTATCTCTAGGTTACTTAAAATAGTGCACTGTAGATAGCTGTTATACTGTATTGTTTAGGGAATCACGGCAGGGAAGAGCATCTGTACATGTTCAATACAGATGCGTTTTTTTTTTTTTTCCAAATATTTTCAGTCCACAGTTGGTTGGATTCACGGATGTGAAACCCACCATGGATATGGAGGGTCGATTGTATTTATTTTTATTCATTGTCCTCCCGCTGAACTGAACTGTGCCACTCTTGGGGAACAATGCCTAATGCCAAATTTATTAGATCACCCAGCATCTTGGACATGACTCAGATCCAGAAATGTAAACGAGCTCCTGCCTTTCTGTCCTGCAGGGCCACATCAAAGGCTACATATCGCATCAGCATCAGAAGCTGGTGGTCAGCAAGCAGAACCCATTTCCTCCGCTGTCCACGGTGTGCTGAGTGTGTCCGAAGCCCTGAGGACGGGTGAGCAGTTGTTTCTTTCTGTTCTGGTTGTGCCGATGAGACCGGTCTGGTACTGCGACAAGGCTCCCTGAAGCCGGAACTCTGGGAGGCGCTTCTCCCTGGGATGCCGAGGCTGAGATTCTCAGCACACCCGAGTCAGTGTCCTCCGTTTGTAACTAATTTCAGCCTGATGAAAACCTGGAATTCCTTTTTCACAAAACTCGGCTGGTTCTGGAGTCTTTGTGAAACTTCTTTGAAGGAGGCTTTGCGTGAAGGCAGCTCCGGCTCACTTTTCCTAAGTGTGGTTCCTGAAGGCTGTCTTTGTAACTTTTTGTAGTTCTTTGTATAAAAAGGTATTCTGAATTTATACACATGGCATGTTCTTCATTATATCTTCCAGGATACATCTATTTTTATATATTAAATTTGAATATGTTATCAAAATGCTTGGTTAACTTAAGGCATCTTTTTAAAAGCAGAATTTAATTTGATTTAAATTTTCCAGATTTTATAGCTTGCCCGTATGGATGCTCCTCAATTTATGATGGGGTTACATCCCAATAAACTTACTTTATTTACCTTTGCTTTGTTGGTTGAAAAAAAACACGTTACTTTTAAAAAACCATCTTAAGTTGAAAATGCATTTGAATACACCTGCTACTAAACAGTATGGCTTACTCTAGCCTGCCTTAACATACCCAGAAACCTCCACTTAGGCAAAATCAAACACGAAGCCGACCTTATTTTATAATAAAGTGTAGATGCCACGCGTGGTGGCTCACGCCCGTAATCCCAACACTTTGGGAGGCCAAGGTGGGCAGATCACCTGAGGTCAAGAGTTGGAGACCAGCCTGACTAACACGGAGAAACCCTGTCTCTACTAAAAATACAAAATTAGGCGGGCGTGGTGGTGCATACCTGTAATTCCAGCTACTCAGGAGGCTGAGGCAGGAGAATCGCTTGAACCTGGGAGGCAGAGGTAGGCAGAAGTTGCAGTGAGCTGAGATCACGCTGTTGCACTCCAGCCTGGGCAACAAGAGTGAAACTCTGTCTCAAAAAAATAAATAAAAATAAAAGTGTAAATATCTCGTGTAGCTTACCGAGTGCTGCACGGAGAGTGGAAACCGAAGGGCTGTGTGGACGCTGAGGCATGGCTGCCCCTGAGTGCGTCCCTTTGGCACCATGGTGAGGTTGACAGTTGCTAAGTCGGGCCACTCACATTGGGCTATGGGGCTGCCATCACAAAATACCACAGGCTGGGCAGCTTAAGCAACAGGAATGTATTTCCTCACAGTTCTCGAGGCTGCAGGTCTGACTGGGATGGGGTTACCAGCATGGTTGGCTTCTGGGGAGGACTGTCTTCTGAGCTGCGCACTCAGGAATATGGTGGTATTCTTGCTGTGCTAGAGATGGTACAGACAGAGATGACTCTCTTTTTTTTTTTTTTTTTTTTGAGACAGGGCCTCGCTCTGTCGCCCAGGCTGGAGTGCGGTGGTGCAGTCAGTGCTTACTACAGCCTCAACCTCTGGGGCTCAAGTGGTCTTCCCTCCTCAGCCTCCCGAGTAGCTGGGACCACAGGTGCATGCCACCACACCCAACTAATTTTTTTAGTTTTTGTAGAGACAGGGTCTTGCTAATGTTGCACAGGCTGGTCTGGAACACCTGGGCTAAAGCAATTCTCCCGCCTCGGCCTCCCAAAGTGCTGGGATGACAGGCATGTGCTACCACACCTGGCTCTCTTCCTCTTATAAGGCCACAGTTCTGTTGGGTTAGGACCTCACCCTTATGACCGCATTTAGCCTTAGTTACCTCCTGAAGACCTTACCTCCAGATACAGTCACGTTGGGGGTTAGTACTTCAACGTAAGAAATTTGGGAGGACACAGTTTAGTCCCCAGCACTGCCATTTTTCAGAGTGTGCACATTTCCCTGTTTATGACAAATTTACTAAAGAAGAACACACAAACCATATTAGCTCATCTTTGCAAAGTTACTGCATTTGAAAGCTGCTTGTGCAAGGAGAAGCTATGCTACAAAGTGTGAATCCCTCTTTCTGTCTCTCTGGGCTTCACAGTGCAGGACTCACTTTGTGTGGCTCCTTCCTCAGGTTCCCCTGGATGCAGGAACTGCCCCAGGGCTTCAGCGGCACTCCTTAGCTCGCTCCTACATCTGCAGGTCTACAGTTTCTTCGGGGCTGGGCGGGGAAGTTTGTGGGCTCTTCTGGGGCCTGAATGGGCCCCTCTGAAGGTGACTCATTCCCATGTATCAGCCCTGGGCTCTCACCTGGGGCTCAGCAGGGCTATGGGTGGGCTCCCCTGTTTCTTTCCACATTCAGGGAGCTGGATTCTGGGAGTGCAGATCCCAGCAGAGCCAGGGAAGCCAGATCTCTTGTATACCCTGCTCTCTCTTAAGTCACACCCGGATTCCAGCCGTGGACTGCCGCGCGCACACATGAACTGCAGGAGGGCAAGCGCCTGTGCCTGTGGACTTCATGCCAAGGATCCTCTTGACCTACAGAGCTGCTCCCCATGAGCAGCAAGGTCCTCAGCGCTGGCAGTCGTGACAAGTGCCTCCTACGTCCTGTGGGGCAGACACGGAGCGAACTCATGTCGGTGAAGGCTTTGGGTGCTGCGTCTGTTTTCTAGCTACTCATGTGTCCAGTGGGGCCCTGTTCTCTTTCAGTGTTGGGTAAGGAAATCTGATCTTCCCTGCTGCTCAGCATGGGCCTTGAACATCCTTCAACTTTTGATTTAAGTGATTTTCTTACAGTAATTTGAATATTGGAATTTCTACTGACATACCTGAATTTCATTCTGGATTTAATAGCGGTAGAAAGTTCAGGTTTGTCAACATTTCTGGGTAACATATTGAACCATCCATAGTGACACCTAAAGTCAAGGACTGATACTTTAAGGTAATTGGATGGTTATTCTTAGCAATGAAAGAAACAACCTCAGTGTAGGTGTCCTTACATTTACCTCTTGGTGTTTAGGCCTGTGTCAGTTTGTTCTCACACTGCTATAAAGAACTGCCCGAGACTGGGTAATTTGTAAAGGAGAGAGATTTAATGGACTCACAGTTCCACATGACCAGCGGGGCGGGCACAGGAAACTTACAATCATGGCAGAAGGGGAGGCAAGCGTGGGGAAAACTGCCACTTTTAAAACCATCAGCTCCCATTGGACTGCCCCACTATCACCAGAACAGCATGGGGGAGCCGCCCCATGATCCAGTCACTTCTTGACACCTGGGGATTACAGTTCGAGATGAAATTTGGGTGGAGACACAGAGCCAAAACATATCAAGGCCTACGTCCAGCATGGCAGCATTCAAGTTCATAGGTGTCCATGTGGGCATATATCAGTGTGTTTGCATGGATTCAGATGTTGGACTTAATCTCTGCCCAAGTGTAAACTTGTTTGGTCCTTTTAAAACATCATCACAGGCTGGACGTGGTGGCTCACATTTATGACCCCAGCACTTTGGGAGGCTGAGGCCAGTTAGATTGCTTGAGCCCTGGAGTTCGAGACCAGCCTGGGCAATATGGCAAAATCCATCTCTGCAGAAAATACAGAAATGAGCTGGGCATGGTGGTGGCACCTGTAGTCGAGGCTGCGGTGGGAGCGTCAGTTGAGCCCAGGAAGTCGAGCCCACAATGAGCTAGGATCGTGCCCTGCACTCCAGCCTTGGGTGACAGACAGAGACCCTGTCTCAAAAAACAAGGAAAACAGAGTCATAGCTAGCTTCCCTTTTCTTGAGTTTTATTGTTTTGTTAGATTTGTTTATGGTGCGGTTTCTAAGCGTGTCATTAAACACCAGTAGAGTAGTTCTTTCATTTCGAAGGCCCCTCATGTCTGCTGACAGTCTTGGCCTGTAGCTTTCTCTGATTGTCCCTGATTTCACAGATTTCACCATTATGCAGGGAGGGTCTTCGTATGCTTTGCCTCTGCCCAGCTGTGTTTGAAATAGTTTTCTTTTCTTTTTTTTTTTTTCTGAGATAGAGTCTTGCTCTATTGCCCAGGCTGGAGTGCAATGGCATGATCTCGGTTCGCTGCAACCTCTGCCTGCCCGGTTCAAGTGATTCTCCTGCCTCAGCCTCCTGAGTAGCTGGGATTACAGGCGTGAGCCACCACACTTGGCAATTTTTTTGTTTTGTTTTGTATTTTTAGTAGAGACAGAGTTTCACCATGTTGGTCAGACTGGTCTCGAACTCCTGACCTCGTGATCCACCCGCGTCAGCCTCCCAAAGTGCTGGGATTATAGGCGTGAGCCACCGCGCCCGGCCTGGAATAGTTTTCAAGCAGGGCTTCCACTCTAGTTTAGTAAATCCAAATTTGTAATAGAAGTACCAGAAGCAGGCCGGGCGCGGTGGCTCACGCCTGTAATCCCAGCACTTTGGGAGGCCGAGGCGGGCGGATCACAAGGTCAGGAGATCCAGACCACGGTGAAACCCCGTCTCTACTAAAAAATACAAAAAAATAGCCAGGCGAGGTGGCGGGCGCCTGTAGTCCCAGCTACTCGGGAGGCTGAGGCAGGAGAATGGCGTGAACCTGGGAGGCGGAGCTTGCAGTGAGCCGAGATCGCACCACTGCACTCCAGCCTGGGCGACAGAGCCAGACTCCGTCTCAAAAAAAAAAAAAAAAAAAGTACCAGAAGCAAGATTGCAGACATTTCTGCAGCATTGTGTACAGAAAGCCTGCCATGTTCATTAGCGGATTTTAAAATCATTAGTAGGCATTTAAAGCAATGACTTAATTACCTTATTGTAGTTTGAGAATAATACAGCCAAAGTTCACTAAGACTTTAAAACTCACCCTAGTGAATTTTAAACTCCCCTCCCCATTAATTTGCCTTAAATTACAGTGTTGCTTTTCGCCAAGGTCCTTTCAGAGAAATGGGCCATTTCATCTACAGATTGGAGAAAAGAAGTTTAATTCTGGGATTAAAGAGTAAATGAAAGAGAGTGTGCTGAAGAACAGTAAGGCTTAAAAACCCAAGTTATGTGTCACTTGTTTTCAACTCAAGAGACTGTTTGTCTGCCTACATTTTCAGTCCCCTTTTTAAAAGTCCTCTGTGCTCCTCAACAAGGCTCTGCTGGCCAAGGCGCCTGCAGCTGGCCCTCACCCTTGCCTGAGCTGAGCGGCCCTCGTCTGCCCACCTCCCACAGGCAGCCGCTGTGAGCTCTGTGTCGCTCAAGGACACTGGTGGAGAAGCAGCTGTGTCCCTTCCTTAACTAAGTCAGAGTTAAAATGTGAACATTTACACCATTTCTGTCCGTTTCAGTGCAGATTCAGACCCCGCTAGGAGCTCCAGTCTCCAAGGAAGTTTCACTGGGGGCTGGACTGCAGCCCTGTCTTTGGTACTTGGGTTGCAGCTGCAGCCTTCATGACAGCAGGTGGTCACTGTGATTCAGTATGTGCTGTCCTGGTCTGTTCTACAAAATACCATGGAGTCTCATGGTGACAACAGGAACTCATTTCTCACAGATCTGGGGGCTGGGAAGTCCAAGATCTGGGTGCCGGCAGATTTGGTGTCTGCTGAGGGCTCTCTGTCTCCAGGATAGCACCTCGCTGCAGCATCCTCGCGTGGGAGAAGAGATGGAAGGGGCTGGCAGAGCCCTCATGGCCTGATCACCTCCCGAGGGCCCCACCTCCCCATGCCGTCATCTTGGGGTAAGTTCCAATTTCGAGTTTTGAAGGGACACACACTCAAGCCACAACAGTGCTGAGCGTTGCCCTAGCTGCCCATCAGCCCATTGGTGAGGCGCTGTGACTCCACCCTGGACGACCCTGAGGCATGAAGAGGTGGAGCACTTGTCTAAGAGCCACCTGGTGGGATGAGCAGAGAGCTGGGACTCAGTGCTCAGCCCTGACCCGGGGCCCTGGAACCTTCTGTGGGAACCCTCCCAGAGAAGAGCTGGTGCACAACCCCGTGAGACGCTGACATGCCTCCTCAGCCTCTCGCGTGCTCCCTGGCCCTTTCCTCTAATGCTGCCTCTCTGAGGTACCCCCAGGGTCGTTCTCCTCCATTGCCAACCTGCTTTGAGTGGCTGCTGCTGCACTGAGCCATGGTCCTCAGTCCCCATGGCAACTGGGGAACCAACAGAGGAGGTCACTTTCTGCTGTAACCGGCGATTGCTGCGGCTTCTGCACCAGAACACACTCGCCTGTGTGCGGGCCGGGGTGGCTGTTCCCTGAGCACAGAGAACACTGGACTTGGAGAAGGAAAGATGTTCTGGAAACCAGACTGTTTTATGACTGACAGATTATCTTATTTTATTATTTAATGCATCTCATGTTTTTTCTGAAGGTCTCTATTGAGAGAAAGAGATCCAGGGAAAGAAAGGTCACAGTGCTCGGTAAATGGCCCAGCAAGGGCGGCTCTGCTGCTCCGTGGGCTGAGCGGGTGGCCTGGGGCTGAGCGGTGGCCTGGGACTGTGACGGCCTCTAAGCGTGTGGTGAAGTTTCAGTGCGCTCCGTGGTGGCAATGCAAGCTTGGAATCCCACTTCAGGTTGTGTTCTTTCTGGCTGGGTTTCAGTTAGTTCATGATCCATTTAAACCAGAGTGAGTACCTGGAGACCTTGGTGACAAGGACCATGCGAGCCTGCCCTCCTGCTGGCTGCGAGCCCAGGACCCCTGTGAGGAACCAGGAGCCTCTGTGCTCTCTGGTGACCACACTTCCCTCCATCCAGTGCACGGCCGCCACACTGCTTCTCTCACAATAGGTCCTGGTGGTGACGGTCACATTCAAGACCTGCCCGCACTCCTCCCCCTCCACAAGTGTGACAGGCAGCGTGGTTAGCGAGTTGCCCAGGTCAGTGCCATTGCGTGCCCAGCCGCTGAGGAGGCCCCCAGTGCGTGGGATGAGGAGGTGCTCAGCGAAGTCGTTCTCAGGGGTGCACACGGGGAGCCCCGCATCTGGGCACTGGATGGGCCACTCCAGCTCCAGCAGTGACAGGTCATTCTCCCCCGTGTCCGCGTCATACCACATGTGCACATGGGCACGCATTATCTTGATCATCAGTGGGTCTTGGCTCGTTCTGTTAAAATCTGAAATCATGAACAATCACCAGTTCTTTACAGTCTGATTTTCAAGAGTGACATAATGCTCAGAAACGAGCTTCTCAGTGAGCCACGTGAGGAGGGAGAGACCGACCCTGGAGGACCCGCAGGCTCACTGCCCCATGGTGTGGACACTGTCCCTTTCTGTGGACAGAAAGGCCACTTGCAGATTGCACCATTGCAACCAAGTGCCACGGCGTTTAAAAACAGTCAAGGTCAGTTCTTCTATTTTGGAGTACAGTGAGGTGTGGTGAAATGATTAAAAAGTAGGGAGCAGTGATGTGGAACTTCTCCAGGCCAATCAAACATTGGCTGTTGAGAAGTGGTTTTCAGGTTGTTGATTGAAAAATATGTAAGGGTACCAGGCGCAGTGGCTCACACCTATAATTCCAGCACTTTGGGAGGCCGGGGCAGGTGGATTACTTAAGGCCAGAAGTAAAGACCAGCTTTTCCAACATAGCAAAACCCTGTTTCTACTAAAAATACAAAAAATTAGCGGGACGTGGTGGTGCACGCCTGTAGTCCCAGCTACTCAGAAGGCTGAGGCAGGAGAATCGCTTGAAACCAGGAGGTGGAGATTGCAGTAAGCCGAGATCGTGCCACAGCACTCCAGCCTTGGCAACAGAGTGAGACTCTGTCTCAAAAAAAAAAAAAAAAAAAATTAAGGATGAAGAGTAAAAACATATTTATGTTGAGGTTCTTCAGAGTCATTACAGAGCATGTTGACAGGTTAATACGGAACTTTGCAGCCTCCCGATGGGCTAGAAGCTATTGTGTGTTTGGATAGATAAGGAAAGAGGCACATGGCCGGGGGCAGTGACTCACACCTGTAATGCCAGCACTTTGGGAGGCCAAGGCCGGCGGATCACCTGTGGTCAGGAGTTCGAGACCAGCCTGGCCAACATGGTGAAACCCCATCTCTACAAAATTACAAAGAAATTAGCCGGCCACGGTGGTGGGCGCCTGTAATCCCTGCTACTTGGGAGGCTGAGGCATGAGAATCGCTTGAACCTGGGAGGCGGAGGTTGCAGTGAGCCTAGATCGTGCCACTGCACTCCAGCCTGAGGGATAGGGTGAGACTCTGTCTCAAAAAAAAAAAAAAAAAAAAAAAGAAATAGGCACAGATAAGCCAATGAAAAGGCCACTGTCTCAGCCCAAAGTCTCAACTGCTGAGGGATTCGAGCCCCATTCTTCTGATTTTTAGTCAATTACCCATCTCTTATGCCACAACTGCTCGATTTCAGTGGGAAAAGAAGTCATCCTTAGTAGGCTGTGATTTCCTCCGTTGCTGAGTGTGAGTTAGCGCTTGCCCGTCGCGATTCCCTCCCTTGCTGAGTGTGAGTTAGCATTTGCCCGTCGCGATTCCCTCCCTTGCCGAGTGTGAGTTAGCGCTTGCCCGTCGCGATTCCCTCCCTTGCCGAGTGTGAGTTAGCGCTTGCCCGTCGCGATTCCCTCCCTTGCCGAGTGTGAGTTAGCGCTTGCCCGTCGCGATTCCCTCCCTTGCTGAGTGTGAGTTAGCACTTGACTGTCGCGATTCCTTCCCTTGCTGAGTGTGAGCACTTGCCCGTCGCGATTGCCTCCCATGCCGAGTGTGAGTTAGCACTTGCCCGTCGCGATTGCCTCCCATGCCGAGTGTGAGTTAGCACTTGCCCGTCGCGATTGCCTCCCATGCCGAGTGTGAGTTAGCACTTGCCCGTCGCGATTCCCTCCCTTGCCGAGTGTTAGTTAGCACTTGCCCGTCGCGATTGCCTCCCTTGCCGAGTGTGAGTTAGCACTTGCTGGACCCCGGTGTGTGCTAGGTATTTTGCATGTGCTTTCTGAATTTATAAGTATCTCAGTTTTATTGACAGTAAATTCAGTTCTATGTTGCATTAGAAACAAACAGTCCAATTTTAAATTTTTCATTTCATTCTTACATAGAATAGTGTATTTCCAATGTGGTTTTATAAAAACTCATGATAAAATACTTACATGTTTTTACACTGATATTCCTGTGTAACAGTGAGCATCTTGCTGTTGTCAGTACAAAGTTTTCCTGTATTATAACACCACCACAGAAGTCTTTTCCTTCGGCATTTGTTAACTTTACCTTTAAAAATCAAAATAGGCAATAAATAGCTGCTGACAGTTTGTGGGATTAGGGGCAGTAAAGTCTACTGGTTAGGGATATGTACTCCAAAGGCAGACAGCCGTATTTGAATCTTGCCCCAGCACTCAAATGGCTACAGGATTGTTATCGAATTGCTGACAATCTAAGCTTTTATTTGCTCAGGGATTAAATGGGGCCGGCACTTCCCCTTTCGGCCCAGGTGAGGTAACAGTGATCAGACTGACCCTCCCACCTGAAGCAAAACATGGACAAAATCTGTGGAATGATGGTTTTCAGGGACTGTAATCCCCAAGAAACAACTGTCTCAGCTACTGTCCAGAATTTCCCTGGCACAGGGCAGGACGGGGCATCTCAGTTGGAGCCCTGCCAACTCCCTAAATTGAAGAGAGAAAGCTGAGAGCCCAGTGAGGCCACAGTGCCTGGAGTTTGCAGAACAGAGTCCTTCAGAGGAGAGAGCTTGGTAGAGAATGCTGGAGGATGGCCGCATGCCTAGCAGTTTTCAGCAGAGCAGTGGTGATCACATGTGCACATGGAGACTAATAATGGCCAGGAAAGAACCACTCAGGAGGGTGAGCAGGACCCGTGCTAGACACTCACGCAGGCTGGGAATAGCGATTCCACCAGCTGAGTTAAAACATCCCTGACTCGGGGGCACGGGGCAGGATGCACAGAAGGGTTTCACTTCAGTACTCAGAATAACTCTAGACTGAGCACTGCCCTGGTCCTACTGACAAATCTTAAGAGCAGTATGCCAAAGGATGAAAGTATTTCCAACTTAACTGAGTCCCAGGACAATATCCAAGTGTATGTATAGAGCACAAAATATTCAGCACCTAACAAGATAAAATTCACAATGTCTGGAAACCTGTTACGGATCACCAGGCATACAAACACACAGGAAAATGTGACCCATAATGAGAAGAAAAATCTCCCAAAACTGAGTCAGCACGGACAGATATTAGTAGACAAGGACAATTAAACAGTGATTGTAACTATAGTCCAAATATTCAAAAAGTTAAGTAGAGACAAAAATATGTAGTTTTAAAAGCCTAAATTAAATTTTTGGATGACAGCTACAGTATATGAGGTTAAACATCCCCTGCCCAGGATGAATGGCAGATTAGACATTGCAAAAGAACAGATCGATGACCTGGACGGCGTCACAACAGAAGCTATCAGAAGTAAAACACGGAAAGAAAGGAGATCTTTGAAAAACGAACAGACCGTCTCTGAGCTATGGAACTTCAAACAGCTTAAGATACATGTAGTTAGATTCCCAAAAAAGAGCAGGGAGAAGGAGGAGAGAAAAAAAAATCTGAAAATAATGGGCCGGTCGGGCACGGTGGCTTGTGCCTGTAATCCCAGCACTTTAGGAGGCAGAGGTGGAAGGATTGCTTGAGCCCAGGAGTTTGAGACCAGCCTGAGCAACATAGCAAGACCCCGTCTTTACATGAAATTTAAAAACTAGCTGTGCATGGTGGTGGTGCACACCTGCGGTCCCAGCTAAGGACTCACGCTACAGCGAGCGGATGTGGCGTCGGCGAAGGTGGAGTGGACTGTGATACGGTAAAGATGTATTCTCCAAACTGGGAAGCAACCACCAACAAAGAACCAGAGATGGTAAACCAACAAAGGAGCGAAAACAGAATCCTAACAAGATATAGTTAATCTAACAGAAGGCAGAAAAAGGGGGAAAGAACAGATGAGAAAAAAAAATAGCAAGATGATAGCTTTAACCCTAAACATATCAGCAATTATAATAAATGTAAAATGGCCTAAATACCCCAATTAAAAGACAGAGAGATATAAATGAAAGCCAATTATATACTACATATAAAACATGTACCTTATTTATTTTTTAAACATGTACTTTATAAAAATACAAATAGGTTAAAAGTAGAAGATTGGAAAAAGATAATGCTAACACTAATAATTAGAAAGCTAAAGTGGCTATATCCATATCAGACAAAGGGGATTTTAGAGCAAATAATATATTCAGGGATGCAAAAGGAGAAAACAAGTTATTTGAAGGATTAAATGAAATAAAGCATGTACCCACATAGTACGGGTGCTGGCTCTGGAAGTGTTAAGTGTTACAATTTTCAACAGTCTGATAAAATACAAAATGCTGAGCAAAGTAAAAAAGAGTTTTCAACTTTACCGTGGCATCGTTCCTGGAACTCTTTATGTGTTTATGAGTAATAGCTGCCACTTGTTGAATACCTACCATAAGTCAAGAACATTCTCTGTAATCCTCACTGCAACTCTGGGGGTGAGATCCTCACTTTAAAGGGGATAAAACCAAGTTCGAGAGAAGGGGGCACTTATGCCATCAGTCTGCCAGACTTTTAGTAAAATTTCTTCCCTAGGATGTAAGAAACAAGGAAGTTCTAAAAATAATCTTCAACCCTATATCCTGCTAGGACACTTAATTCTCCTTTTCAAAGTTTGTTTTAGGGAATTCCATATATTCAGTTAAATAACTTCAGAACAATGTATAATACTGGAGTAAAAACCTAATAGTATGTAGCCTGCCTAAGCCAATAATGTCCTGTGTCTTTTTTTTTTTTTTTTTTTTTTTTTTTGAGACGGAGTCTCGCTCTGTAGCCCGGGCTAGAGTACAGTGGCCGGATCTCAGCTCACTGCAAGCTCCGCCTCCCGGGTTGACGCCATTCTCCTGCCTCAGCCTCCCGAGTAGCTGGGACTACAGGTGCCCGCCACCTCGCCCGGCTAGTTTTTTGTATTTTTTAGTAGAGACGGGGTTTCACGGTGTTCGCCAGGATGGTCTCGATCTCCTGACCTCGTGATCCACCCGTCTCGGCCTCCCAAAGTGCTGGGATTACAGGCTTGAGCCACCGCGCCCGGCCATGTCCTGTGTCTTAAACACACCAGCTGTGTTTAGAGAATGCCACCTCCTCGGTTATATGGCTCTTAGCCTTGCTGGTATGAGTGCTATGGTTACAGACTAGAACCACACCCTGTCTTCAGTTGGGTAAGCTGGGAAGCTGGAGACAGCCTGCAGGTGGTAGAGCCAGACCCTGTCACCACCTATGGGGGACCACTGCACTCTGGGCCTCCCAGGTACCCACCCTCAGTGCACTTATGGGGCAGACAGCGATAGGAAGAACTGTTTTAGAAAGCTCGGGGAGGAAAGGTGATAAAAGATTGAGAGGAAGTTTACGAAGCTGGTGATAGACCATTCCCGCTTCCATCCCCGCCTTCCATCACTCTGTCTGCTTTGCCTCCCTTCAGTCTCTTCCTTTCTACCCTGGAGCTGGGTGGCTTCAAGTCCTTGAGCTCCATCCTGTTCTCTCCCAGTCCACACGGCTGCCAGAGTGGGCTGGGCAGAGCTATCTTGTAAGAATCAGGGGAAACTGAAGCATGTCACACACAGAAACTTCAGGGGCTTGTTACTCACAGGCCCTCACGAAGGGGGCCCCTGAGGCTGTGCCATCCACACGGCGCCACACCCGGGTACAGATGTGGACATGAGGGCTGCACCTCAGTGTAAATTCACACCAGATTCCAAAGATTCAGTGTAAAGGAAAAAGGCAAATGCCTCAATAATGTTTATATTCATTACATGGGGAACTAGTGACACATATTGGGTTAAATAAAATATATTATCAAAATTAATTTCACATGCTTTTACTTATTGTGGCTACTAGAAAATTTTAAATTATGTGGTTTACATTGCGTTTCTGTTGGACAAGGCTGTTTTGAAGGATATACTCAGGCAGAAGGAGATAATAGTGTTAGAGGTGTGAAAGCCAAGGAAAGTGGAAAATGAGGTAAGTAAATCAAAGCCAGTGTTGGTGGCATAAAACCATAATAAAAAAAATCGTAATATCCATTTTGTGAAGCTATACAGAAAGCAAGAAAAGAATAAAATACTGGCCAGACAGCAAATGGACCCAGAATGAGGTGCTGGGACTTAGCCTGAGGAGGGAGAAATAGCTGACTTTACATGTGCTGAATATGGATGTTTATGTGTCAAGAGTGACCATTAAATAAACAAAGTGAAGATGAGGCCAGGCATGGAGGCTCATGCCTGTAATCCCAGCACTTTGGGAGACTGAGGCGGGTGGGTCACTTGAGGTCAGGCATTCGAAACTATCCTGTCCAATATGGCAAAACCCCGTCTCTACTAAAAATAAAAATCAGCCGAACGTGGTGGCGCATGCCTGGAATCCGAGCTACTCAGGAGGCTGAGGCAGGAGAAGCGCTTGAGCCCAGGAGGCGGAGGTTACAGTGAGCTGGGACTGGACCACTGCACTTCAGGCTGGGTGACAGATCGAGACTCCATCTCAAAACAAAACAGAACAAACAAAAACCCCCCCCAAAACAAGTGAATGGTTAAGTTCTAAATCAGCCAAGGAAGGGAAAAGGAGAAGAACAAAAGTGAATGCCAAACTAGAGAAATTTAGTGAACAAAATAACAAAGCTAGAATGCCAGCCAGGCCAGCAGCCGAGAGCAGAGTCAGTCCCTGAGCTGGTGCCCAAGCTGCCACTCAGCCGCTCTGTGACGACACCCAGGTCCCCAGGTTGGGGCAGCCCATCGCTGAAGCGCTTCCCAGGCGTGCTGTGACTTCGAGATGCTTATGTTCTGAGGAAATGACATTGGTAACAGTTTGGAACTGCAGAGGGAAGGTCTTGGGGGCTGTAAATAATGCTATCCTTTTGTATTTGAGGCAAGCAATGAAGACAGCTGAAGTTATGAACTTGGCATTAGAAAACACTTTGAAGTGGGAATAGAGGTTAGTCAATGCAGTCAGTAGCCCATCGAAGTCAGGATGACTGATTCACTTAGTCGTTACATTTCTCTTTAGGAAATGACAAGGTGAAAGTCGTAACAATAAATTGAAGCACGCGGAGAGCACTCTGTTACCTGCCACGGGAGGTCCTGTAGATCCGGTGCACGCTTCTCGGAGGTCAGCACCCCACAGGCACACTGGTCTGCATTTGCGGCAGCGACATGAGAATAAAAATCAGCACCTTCCCAGTGAATATCGGACTCTGTCTGTGGTGTTAACCATTGCATAATTCCGGCTGTGGTACTAACCATTATAATCGTATCCTTAATGCTGATGAATGTGCAATAATTCACACAGACACTCAGACTGGAGTTAAGCCACCCCCTCACGGCGCTCATGGTTTAGCTCAGCGTGGTCCGAGCAAGCACGAGTGACAGAAACTGCACTTTCTAGCATTGCCATTGCTCCAGCATGGAGACGCGGACCACCTTCTGAGTCGTGGCAACTCCTTATCACAAATCTGTGGGCTTCACCCAATACTACAGAAGAAGGAAGGAGGATGTGGACAGGGTCACTGGCACTGGAAGCTGGAGGCTGCTGTGGTCTGAGCACTCACCGTGGGGAACGCACTGTTTGCGGTCCTCACCAAGCCTGTAGCCTTGAGCACAGCTGCACGTGTAGGATTCCTGTCCTGGAAGGCAGAAGTGTTGACACCCATCAGTCCGCTCCGGGTGACATTCATTTTTAGCTGAAAAGGAAAAAAAAAAAAAAGACCAGAAATGCTGGCTTGGCATTTGATTACAGCCTTGCACACAGAGTTCTGGTGTTTTGGTCCATGTGTCCTCATTCTCTTCAGACCGTTGCCCTTTGTGTCAGTGTTTGCCAGACTTCCGTATTTCAGGAATGTGCATGTAAAACAAAGACTCCATGAGTGAGGCTGGGCGCGGTGGCTCACATCTGTAATCCCAGCACTTTGGGAGGCCAAGGTGGGTGGATCGCGGGGTCAGAAGATGGAGACCATCCTGGCTAACACGGTGAAATCCTGTCTCTACTAAAAATACAAAAAGGAGCCGGTCGTGGTGCCGGCCTCTGTCGTCCCAGCTACTCAGGGGGCTGAGGCAGGAGAATGGCGTGAACCCGGGAGGCGGAGCTTGCAGTGAGCTGAGATCACACTGCTGCACTCCAGCCTGGGTGACAGAGCAAGACTCCGTCTCAAAAAAACAAATAAATAAAATTTTTAAAAAAGACTCCATGAGTGATGGCACTTCCATCTGTCCTTAGAAAATGTGGCCCTGGATGTATTTCCACGTGGACTGTAATCCACACACCTGTTTTCTCTGCTGCCTTGCACTGGCTGTTCCCTTCAATGTGCTGCTGTGAGGCGGGGTCGTGGGATGGGAGGGGTGAGTGAGACGTCAGTGCTGGCCGAGCAGCGGGGATGGGGGCTGTCCACCCAGAGGGCGGAGATTAAGAAAGGGGCAGGTGGGTGAAGGTCAAAGCCCCGTTTGGTGCGTGGTAAATTTGGGATGTCTGTGAAGGCACTAGCTGAGGCATCAAGGAGGCAGATGGAGCAGAAATCCGGATTTCGGAGGAGAGGGCTGGGCTGGAAGGAAGGTTTTTCCCCAGAGAAACGGGCTCCGAGTTGACCAGCGGTGCTGAGGACGGAGCACACTTGTTGCTGTAGTTGGCGATTACGGACACTGACATTTGGCGGATATTTAAGGATATTTGTTTATGTGCTTTTCGTCTTCCTGGTCTGCAGTCTCCCACTGGGGTAGGTCCAGCCCTGAGGACGCCTGTGTGTGACCCCCAGCCTGTGAGCAGATTGTGAATGGTTGAGGCGGGGGTGGGGAGGAGAGGGGGCCCATGCCATGAAAAGTATGGGGGACCTGTCTGGAAGGGGCAACTCAGAATTCTGCCAGCCCCACCGGGTGTGGTTTCCAGAGGAGAATCTGATTGGGATGAGAGGAATCCACTGGGGTGAGCCAAATTGTGGTTCACACAGGCACCTTCGTGTCTACACCCCAAGAGGGGCCCATTGGGACCCTGGCCAAGGATGTGAGGCCTGCCTGCCCAGGGAGGCCCTGGGGGAAGGGGACGGCCGGGGCCTCACCCAGCTCGCAGTTGCTGCCCTCATAGCCAGGGGAGCAGGTGCAGGTGTAGCCCCAGATGCTGTCCTGGCAAGATCCGTTGTGGAGGCAGGGCTGGGAGATGCACGGGGAGCCACCTGCAGGAGGAGGGTGGGGGTCAGGGTGGTGGTGACAGGAACGGGGACCTGAGCAGGAGGAGGGCGGGGGTGGTGACAGGAACGAGGACCTGAGCAGGAGGAGGGTGGGGGAGGCGGTAGGGACGGGGACCTGAGCAGGAGGAGGGTGGGGGAGGCGGTAGGGATGGGGACCTGAGCAGGAGGAGGATGGGGGGAGGTGGCAGAGACGGGGACCTGAGCAGGAGGAGGCTGGGGGGCAGGGGATGGCAGGGACGGGGACTGAGCCCACTCGTGCTGCTCCCCATGCTGTCGTCTGGCCCCCAGGACACTCCCGCTCAGAACGTAGGTCCGGCTGCCGGTGCCTCCCGCTCTGCTGGGCACCCTTTCTTCGTCCGCATGTGGCCCCCTCTGTCCCGCCCCATCAGCCCTTCTCCGGCCTCCCAGGCCTCTCCCGCTTCCTTCTGTGCCCAGTTGTCTCCATGCTTGTCTGGTGGTGGCTGCAGCTCTTTGCTTACTCATTCCCAGGCCTCCCCCAGCCCTGTGGGTCTCCATCTATGTCACTTCTGTCCCATGCTCTTCTGCAGTTGCCCACCTAGAACTACTCCCTCGGGAGGAGTCCCGCAACCAAAGTCTCCATGGGGGCCATCACTTTCCAAAATTTGAGACAGGTTCTGACCCTGCTGCAGCATGAGGCTCCCCAGGAGCCAGGAGCCCAGGAGCCAGGAGCCCAGGAGCCCAGGAGCCAGGACCCCAGGAGCCCAGGAGCCAGGAGCCAGGAGCCAGGAGCCCAGGAGCCAGGAGCCCAGGTGCCCAGGTGCCCAGGAGCCAGGAGCCAGGAGCCCAGGAGCCAGGAGCCAGGAGCCCAGGAGCCCAGGAGCCCAGGAGCCCAGGAGCCAGGAGCCCAGGAGCCAGGTGCCAGGTGCCCAGGAGCCAGGAGCCAGTAGCCCTGGAGCCCAGGAGCCAGGTGCCCAGGAGCCAGGAGCCAGGTGCCCAGGAGCCAGGAGCCAGGAGCCCAGGAGCCAGGAGCCAGGTGCCCAGGAGCCAGGAGCCAGGAGCCCAGGAACCAGGATCCCAGGATCCCAGGAGCCAGGAGCCCAGGTGCCAGGAGCCAGGAGCCCAGGAGCCAGGAGCCAGGAGCCAGGAACCAGGAGCCCAGGAGCCCAGGGGGAGCCAGGGAGGGCCAGGGGGGGGGGGGGGGGGGGGGGGGGGGGGGGGGGGGGGGGGGGGGGGGGGGGGGGGGGGGGGGGGGGGGGGGGGGGGGGGGGGGGGGGGGGGGGGGGGGGGGGGGGGCGGAGCCCAGGAGCCCAGGAGCCCAGGAGCCCAGGAGCCAGGAGCCAGGAGCCCAGGAGCCAGGAGCCCAGGAGCCAGGAGCCAGGAGCCCAGGAGCCCAGGAGCCCAGGAGCCCAGGAGCCCAGGAGCCAGGAGCCCAGGAGCCCAGGAGCCAGGAGCCCAGGAGCCAGGGGGGGGGGGGGGGGGGGGGGGGGGGGGGGGGGGGGGGGGGGGGGGGGGGGGGGGGGGGGGGGGGGGGGGGGGGGGGGGGGGGGGGGGGGGGGGGGGGGGGGGGGGGGGGGGGGGGGGGGGGGGGGGGGGGGGGGGGGGGGGGGGGGGGGGGGGGGGGGGGGGGGGGGGGGGGGGGGGGGGGGGGGGGGGGGGGGGGGGGGGGGGGGGGGGGGGGGGGGGGGGGGGGGGGGGGGGGGGGGGGGGGGGGGGGGGGGGGGGGGGGGGGGGGGGGGGGGGGGGGGGGGGGGGGGGGGGGGGGGGGGGGGGGGGGGGGGGGGGGGGGGGGGGGGGGGGGGGGGGGGGGGGGGGGGGGGGGGGGGGGGGGGGGGGGGGGGGGGGGGGGGGGGGGGGGGGGGGGGGGGGGGGGGGGGGGGGGGGGGGGGGGGGGGGGGTGTGGGGAGGGGGGGGGGGGGGGGGGGGGGGGGGGGGGGGGGGGGGGGGGGGGGGGGGGGGGGGGGGGGGGGGGGGGGGGGGGGGGGGGGGGGGGGGGGGGGGGGGGGGGGGGGGGGGAGCCCAGGAGCGGAGCCAGGAGCCCAGGAGCCCAGGAACCAGGAGCCCAGGAGCCCCAGGAGCCCCAGGAGCCCAGGAGCCAGGAGCCCAGGAGCCAGAGCAGGAGCCAGGAGAGAGCCAGAGCCCAGGAGCAGACAGGCCCAGGAGCAGGAGCAGGAGCAGAGCCAGGCCGAGCCAGGAGCCAGAGCAGAGCCCAGGAGCCCAGGAGCCAGGAGCCCAGGAGCCAGGAGCCAGGAGCCCAGGAGCCAGGCGGATGGAGGAGCTGCTCTGGGGGGGCCTCCTGGCCTGTGGCCTGTGTCCCAGAGTGCCCAGAAACTACCCAGACGCTGGGCAAGATAAACCGGCCGCTGCCTGTGGCCCTGGGGGCAGAGCCCGGGGGCTTCCTGACCTGGTCCTCGGGCAGAGTCCGAGCTGCGCCCTTCCCTGGAGAGACATCACGGGTTCTGGAGCCAAAGGCTTGACATCCGCCGACCTGGGGTCATGAAGCGTCCTAAGCCCACCCCTCACCTCATCCCGAGGAATTAATACTTCTGAGGAGATGAAGGAAACCGCTTACCCTTATATCGTCTCCAGAATTCATCCTTTAGAATTAAAACATAAAAGTGTTACAAACAGGACATTTGTTTTTCTATATTCTTTCCTGTAGATGAACTTGAAGGTAAGAAAATGTTGATTTTATTCACCTAATGGGACAATAGTGTTTGAAACAATGCACGGTTTTCCTGTTTTACAGCCTAATTGTTTATGTTAAATGTGTAGTAACTAGATGTATCTGTAAGATAAATTACTCAACATGTGCTTACCAGCACCTATTTGAGGAAAGCCGGAGTCTGTGACGTGGCACAAACCCGCCACACACAGCCCCTAATGTGGCCCTTCCCTCCTAGGGCCAATCTCCACGCCACCCTCCACAAAAGCATGTGATAGAGAAGTCACATCACCTTTTCACTTTTCATAAACCGAGTTGAATTTTAAAGATATGTACCTGTGTAGGGAGTGGGGACGCTTAGTTTGGAGTAGGAGTATCTAAAATTAGGAGAATTATTCAGACTTGAAGCCTAGAAAGAAAATGTATAAAAAATGGCATATCCTAAGATCATATTTGGACTTCTAACAACTTGAACAATGTCATAAGTAGTAAATGAAAAACAATTTTCTGTACCAGAAGTTTGAAAAATGAAATTTAGGGCAAAATACTTTGAAAAATTTTTACACTTTTCACATGCCTGTAGGATTTCTCTGAGTTGTATTAAAAATGATCTATTTCATAAGTTATCTTATAGATAGGTATTTAAGAAACTAGAATTTTAAAAACATTAAAAATTATACTTGAGAAACAGGTCAACATTTAATTTAGAATCAATTTTAGACTGGGCGCGGTGGCTTGTGCCTGTAATCCCAGCACTTTGGGAGGCCAAGGTGGGTGGATCATGAGGTCAGGAGATTGAGACCATCCTGCCCAACATGGTGAAACCCCAATACAAAAAAAATTAGCCGGGCGTGGTGGCGGGCACCTGTAGTCCCAGCTACTTGGGAGGCTGAGGCAGGAGAATCACTTGAACCCGGGAGGCGGAGCTTGCAGTGAGCCAAGATCACACCACTGCACTCCAGCCTGGGCCACAGATCGAGACTCTGTCTCAAAAAAATACAAAAAATAAATAAATAAAATAGCAAATTCTTACTTGTGTTATTTAGAGCATACACACAGTCACATGTGAAGCAAATCATTTATGTAATCCCAAGCACGGATTATGATTTTCTTACTATGTGGCATCCCAGAGAGGACGTTTCTGTTTTCAAGTTTTTTTTTAAGGTCTCTATTAAAAGCATGAAGTTCTCTGAAAGTCACCGCAAGCTGGGCGGCGTGTGTGTTGGACTGTCTGATCAGTGTGTGGGCCTTGCCTGACCTGAAGAAAGTCCAGTGGGGTCTGAGCTGACTTCCGGCCCCACTCACCTGCTGTAGGTAAGGGTGGATCAGTGGGTGGATTAAGTCACTTCTCTAAATTGTTTCCTCATCTGTAAAACTGGGATTGTGTCAACCTCATCAGTAAGTAAATAGGCTAATTAATTAAGCTGAATCTCTGAGAAATGATGCTCCCTGGGTCAGCAGAAGTCTAAATAACGAGGAAGCCTGTGGTTCGTGGTGGGGGGTACATACAGTGACCGCTTCATTTTCAAACACTTCTCTTGCTTCTTCATAGGTACAGATTTCTTCGTAACATTCTTTTTCCAAGTTTCCCTCGAAGAGTTCTTCCAGGAGATAGGAGCCCGCGCGCTTCCACCTCGCCAGAACGTCGTTTGCTTTGGAGGCCGGGAGAAATACTACAGACAAGACAAGAAGACGGTGACTGGGAGCACCGAGGGCCCTGCTTTCCAGAACTGCCTGGCTTCCACCCCAGCCAGTCGCCAGCCCCTGCCCCTCCGTCTCCACAGGCTCTCAGCCTTCGAGAGCCTCAGGACCACCCCGCCACTACCTCCCCCGAGGTAGGCAAGCACTTCATCCTCTGGGCGAATGGACCAGCCCCGGGATCAGTGCAGATACATTAAGGTTCTGCAGAGAGGCCACGGGCCTCAGTCGGGAAAGTGGAGGAGGGAGGTCTCCAACTGGGTTTTGGGTCCGAGTGCGAAGGAAGGCCGAGCTGGGGTCAAAGGTCATTGTGCTGAGAACTGGGGACCAAGAGCCATCAGCTCCTGTGCTGCCTCTGTGCACAGGATTTAACATCTTGATAAAACACAAAGAGAAGAAACTTATACATTGCAGCAGGCTCTGCGATTTCCAGGAGGAGAAGGCAAACCAGTCTGCCCGCGGCTGTGGTCTCTAGAGGCTCTTCCTGCCCAAGGGCCCCAAAGCACGTTCTCTCCCTCTCCCGGAGGGTCAAAGCCCAGGCCCTTCACATCCTGCCTCTCTTTCTCTCGGTGCTGAGGGTTACAGCAGGGACGGCTCAGCTAAGTCCAGCCACGGTAAGTGCTGGGCAGGGCGGTGGGGGCGGGGGGTCAGCCTCTCCAGAGGGAGACCATGGGGCCAGCAGGAGACCATGGGGCCAGCAGCGACGCTGGGTGTTTGACTTGCAGCTTTCCTGGACGCCTGTGCAGGCAGAGTCAGGATGGAGTCCGTGGCTGTTCCTCCAGCGAAGTGGCTGGTGGTAGAAGGGTGGCAGGCGGGCAGGGTGGCTGCTCCCTGGCTGTGTCTCCTGACTCAAGACTGAGCACTCCTGGCCGGCCTGGCCAAGGCGCTCTCTGCCCACATTGCAGTCTGGGCTCGGCCTGCCCCACCCCCTCCCCCCTCCCTGGCCTTTCCCCACCGAATCTCCTGCACACACACTTCTTTCCATTTGGGCATCTCTTGGGAGGACCCCAAGTGACACCATCATGTCCCAAATACTTGTCACCAAATGATAAAGACCTAAACGGCTTTTTCAGGGGAATTAAGACAAGTCTGGGCACTCAGGGCTCCTCCGGCTCCTGGGAAAAGTGTCACCTACAAATCCACCGTGGACTGAATCAAGGACACAGCACAGGCACGACAGACAGGTAAGCCAGACGCCTACCTGAGGGCTCCGCACGCTGGAGGGCGAGGACCAGGACCAGGCCCTGGAGCAGCGGGATGCAGCCTGCCATTCCTACCCGAAGCACTGGGACAGGGCTGCAAACACAGCCAAAGTCCAGGCTGGGGGAGGTGCTGGCAGCAGGAGCCTCGGGGCATGACCTGCACAGCTGTGTGCTTCCCTCCTGACGTTTTCTGTTTGAGGCCAGGCAGAGAAATGAACAGTGAAGGCTCAGAGGGCCCTGGGAGATATTTAGGGAGACAGAGAATGGAGGGTAAAGGCAGCAGGTGCATGGTGGAAGGAGACACCCATGCCGTGTGTAGTGAGTTGGAGGTGAGACAGGCACAGCCCCAGCCTGGGGACACAGCAGTGGGTGGGACAAAGTCACAATGCAGCTGATGTTCTAAGTGTGTGTGGAATACACAGGAAGGAACGAGGGAAAGAAAAAGGAGTGAGTGAGGGAGAGAAGGATGGAAGATGGAAGGAAGGAAGGGGAGAAGAGGGAGGGAGGGAGGAGGGAGAAAGGGGGTAAGGGCCAAATGGTGTCTGTCACTACAGCTCAGCACCATTGTATCAGAGGCAGCACAGGCAATCATGAATGAACACTTGGTTTTGTGCCAATAAAGCTTTATTTATAAGAGCTATTAAGGGGCCAGATTTGGCCCTAGGGTTGTAATTTGCTGCTTTCAGATGTAGGCCCTTTGTATTAGTCCTTTCTCACACTGTTATGAAGAAATACCCAAGACCGGGTAATTTAAGAAAAGAGGTTTAGTTGACTCCCAGTTCCACATGGCTGGGGAGGCCTCAGGAAACTTACAATTATGGCAGAAGGCACCTCTTCACAGGGTGGCAGCAGAGAGAACGAGTGCAAGCAGCAGAAATGCCAGATGCTTATAAAACCATCAAATCTCATGAGACTCACTGTCCCAAGAACAGCGTGGCAGAAACCTCCCCCATGATCCAATCACCTCCCACCGGGTCCCTCCCTCGGCACGTGGGGATTATGGCAATTACAGTTCAAGACAAGATTTGGGTGGGGACACAGCCAAACCGTATCAGCACTTGAAGCCTGAGGTAAGAACCTGGTGTTTCCTTTCCACTGTGTTGGGAAGATACTGGAGGGAACAGGAATTGACATGGAAAGATTTGTGCTCTGAAGGGATCACTGTGGCTGCTGTGTGGAGAACAGAACATTCCAGAGAAGTCAAAAGGGAGGCTGCTGGCTAGTCCCGGACGGGGCGGGGGTGCAGCCATGCAGCGGGAAGCACGTTTGCAGTCTGGATGCTTCACGAAGGGGAAGCTGATGGGATTCATGATGAATGGGGTCGGGCAGCATGGCTTCAAGGTTTGGGCTGAACGACTGGGAGGATGGCAGTGCGTGTGCTGAAATGGCCAAGCTCCAGGAGGGCAGAGGGAAGCAAGGTTTGGAGAATTTGAGGGGTCTCCCAGGGGGAGCGGAGGAGTCACTGCGGGAGGCGATGGGGCTCTGCTGCAGGTTGTCTCTCCCTCACTCTCGGGGGAATCACTTCCCCCCTCTTTGCTCCCCGCCGTGACCGCCTGCTGCTTGCGGTCCTCAGGGTCTCACCTCACACGAGCAGCCACTTCAGTTATTTCCCGAAACAGAGCTGGGCTTCCCTCAGGGGATTCTGGGGGTCTCAGGTCACAGAGTGTCCCCTGGCCCAGGCCTAGCCCATTCTGAGTGAACATGGAGATGATGTGGGTTTAACCCACTTGCCTTTACTTATGAAGAAGGAGATGTTCAGGCAGAGAGAAAATCCCCGCCACAGCAGCGCAGGAGCCCACAGAGCTGAGACGTTAACACCGAGCACGCGTCCAGGACTGGGGCCTCTCCTCCCGCACCTCCCTGGACGAGACCCTATTTCTGGATGGGGCTTCGGCAGATGCTGAGCTGCGACCCCCCAGGCCCTTCTCTCTGCAGCCTCTGGTTTCCTTTCTATCCCGAGGCGGGCACGGGCACCGGGCACCCAGTGTGGCAGGAACCAGGGGTGCAGACAGGGATGGTGATGGCGGGCTTCACTTGTAAATTTTTCCCCAGAGTTCTCTCTGGACCCCACTCAACCTTTGATTTCCAGAAACGGGAATCCAAGTCCAGGGTTTACCTCTGGGGCTGTGGGGACCACGTTGCTGCCTAGGAAATGCAGCCCAACACGTGCTAGTTCCGAGGCAGAAGCCGCTCCTCCAGCAAGGGCTGGCGAGGAGCCCAACAGCTGGCTCCATGGAGGAGGCCTCAGAGCGGGCAGGCCAGGAACGCCCTCCCGCCCACGCTGGGAGACAGGCCCCTCCTCAGACCGTTTCTGGGAGGTCGAACACCTGTCCACTTTGATTTTCCCTAACTTCGCAACATCTGTTTACGAACGGTTTTGCCCAGCTCATGACTTTTTGGGGGAGTTTTTGTACTAGAACTGTTGAACTTTGCTTAGGGACATTACACAAGACGCAAACTGCAGGGGATGTTTGGGAGACACACGGCAGGCCTTGTCTGGAGTCTTTTCTGTTTACTGAAGGTTCACTTGGTTTTCATGGCCATTTAACTTGAGGCCAAGGGACAGTGCCGGATGCAGCGGGGTAAGGACTCAACATCTGGACCTGAGGAGAGAAGGAGGAGCCCCCTGAAGCCCCTCCTGCCACACCACCACCACTCAGCCCCTGAGGAGCTCCAGAAGCTTCCAGAAGCCCCTGGCCAGCTTCACTCCAGAGACTGATTTCAGGGGCCAGGCTGTGGCCTGGATGCAGGCATGCTAAAGCCCCCAGGGGATTCTAAGGGTGGCCAGGGTGGGGGCCCACGGTGTGAGGTAGGTCACTGCCTGGTGAGTAGGTCACCCACCCGGGGGATGTCCGTGCGCCCCCACCATGCAAGCCCAAGCTGGGGTGGGGCCTGGCACCGTGCGGTTGAAGAGCACCCGATGGTTTAGGTCAATGCAAAACGTCCGCCCCAACAAGAGGCTTTCTGGACGTTTCCCTACCGGGGAGTCTGAGTCCTAGGCAGTCACCGGGGAGGTGTCCAGTTCCCAAGGGGAACAAGAGAGACCAGGCCAGGTGGGAGGTCTCGGGGAGGACATGCCAGCGTGTGGGCCCCTCCCGACCCCACGGGGCCTGCACAGGCTCCCACCTGCCTCTGGGCGTGACCCAGACACAGGAAGCTGTCCAGGGAAAGGAATGCCCATGGCAGTCACAGCACAGTATCATCCTTGGAGCCTCCATCCTGCCCATCTAGAACAGACTAGAACATTCCCTGGAGGAATCCCCAGCCTAGCTGGGAAGGGCGGGAGCTCGGGTTCCAGACGTACTTCACCTTCCCACCCCGATGGCGGGAGAAGCCAGGGCAAGGCGGCAATCGAGAGACATACCAGGCCTTGCGTGGGATCTCACTTTAATGGAGAGGACGTGCTGGCCTCTGGGGCACGGCTCTCAGCCTTGGGCAAGCCCCTGGTTTTCATGGACCTGTCGATCCACTTGAGGAAGGCGGTGACCTTGGTGTAGATCCCGTACTTCCCCTTCCGGGCGCAGCCCTCTCCCCAGCTGACGATGCCTGTCACGAAGTAGGTGTCCTTGAAGCGGGTGACGTGGGGGCCCCCACTGTCCCCCTGGCAGGCGTCTTCCTGCTTGGCGTGGTAGCCGGCACAGAACATGTTCTGGGTGATGATGAAGCTGCTGGAGAGCTTGCAGCTGTTGCGGTCCACGTAGGGCACCTCCAGCATCTTGAGCCTGGTGGACTGCCGGCCCTTCTCGTGGGTGCGCCCGAAGCCGCTCACAATCCCCGTCTTCTGCGTCATCAGCGTGGACTCGGCCCAGTCGCGCTCGGGGAGGCAGGCGGGTGCCACGTTCATGCGGAAGGTGATGGGGCTCTTGAGCCGGAGCACGGCGATGTCGAAGTCATAGGTCTCCTTTGTGAACCGGTTGTGCTTGATGATCACCTCCACCTCGTGCACCGCCTCGCCGCCCTCCTCCTGCTCCATGTCCCGGTCCCCTGGGACAGAGGGGGGGGGCCTGTGCTCAGCTCAGCCGGGGCCATGCTTTCGCACATCCGTTGCTTTTTAAGGATTTTTTTTTTTAATTAAAAATGGCACGTGGTCACTTTTGAAAATTTGGAAAATAAAGGGAAATGCAAAGCAGCAAATAAAAATGACCGTCAGCCTTGCTACCCAGGGAACCACTGGTGATGTCTCACACATTTGGTTCTTTGGACGGCCGCCACTCCTGTGTCCTTGGGTGGGTGCATCCTCCGTGCCAGTCGTGGGCACCAATGAGGTGTACCAGGGCCAAAGGCTTGGCATCCCAGACTCAGGCTGTGCAGTGTGGCTGCCAGCCGAAAATGTAAAATAGTTGTGCCATGAGCGTAAAATAGAGACTTAGCATGAAAGAAAATGTGCAGAATGTGTTATTACGCCTTTAACATGATTACACGTGAAAAAAATATTTTCAACATGTTAAGATAGATTGTGAAAATCTGTATGTATGTGTGTATATGTACATATATACATAATATACATATATAAACATATATGTATGTATTTTTTTTTGAGACAGTTTTGCTCTGTTACCCGGGCTGGAGTGCAGTAGCACAATCTCAGCTCAGTGGAACCTCCGCCTCCCGGGTTCATGGTTCTTCTGCCTCAGCCTCCTGAGTAGCTGGGATTACAGGCCCGTGCCACCACGCCCGGCTAATTTTTGTATTTTTTAGTAGAGATGGGGTTTCGCCATGCCAGCCAGGCTGATCTCGAACTCCTGACTTCAGGTGATCCACCCGCCTCAGCCTCCCAAAGTGCTGGGATTACAGGCGTGAGCCACCGCGCCCAGCCTGTTTTTTATAGTTAAAAATGTATAATAGAACATTTAGGGTTAGAAAAATACCAGTTTACATATATTGCTTTGCATTTGTAGCTTGTGTTGGGTTTGCACTGAGCAGCTCTAGTGGACAAAGACAGATGCTAATGAAACAATCTCACAAATAAAAATAGAAGAGACAGAGGTGCTTGGTGCTCAGAGTATGTTAAAGAGTGAGGGAGGTCTGGAAGGCTCCCAATAAAAGACACTGAGACATAAAACATTAGCTGGACACAGACCCAGAGACCCGGGACCCAGAGACTCAGAGACCCAGTGGGAGAAGGGCTGGGCTGCTTCCCCTCCCCCTCCCCATCCCCCTCCCCATCCTCCTCCCCACTCTTCCCCTTCCTCTGCTTCCTCATCTTCTTCCTCTGTGAAACGCCCCTAACCCCTACAAATAGGATTTCAGGATTTTAAGCAGTGTTCCCAACAAATTCCATCAGCTCTAGTGGTCTCTGAAAAGCAGACAGTGACTGTGCCTCCCTGGGGGCTGTTGGTCACTTACCTACCCTCACCTTGAATCTCTTGGCTTGGTAGAGACAGTGGGCTGCAGTGAGGATGTAGAACTCGCTCAGAATGGTGCCACCACAGAACCCCTCGTTTTCCTCATTGATGAGCAGGGCCTGTGACAGACGTGACAGGCTCAGTGTGGCTGGCCATGGACGGGTGTTGCCTGACTGAGAAGCCAGCCCTTCAGGTGGCACTGCCCAGCCCTCCCCATACCAAGCTGTCCTCTCCGGTCTGTCGTCCACCCAAAGACAGCTCCTTGTCTGTCTGTTTTCTCCGCCTGTGCCACACACTCACTGACACAGGGAGTCACCTCACCTTTCTACCAAATCCATCACAGTGTTCTCCAAAGTCTCAAACACACAACACATCTGCCCGCGCTTTGGAAAAGACGCTCCCTGTGGGAGTCTCTGTGGCAGGATTTCTGCCCGGGACCAGGAGACGCCAGTCTGTGCAGAAACATCTGCCTCCGCCGGTGCGCCTGCCTGGTGTCCCAACGGTTCAGCAGTGTGAGCCTGTCCCCCACGGTGCACGGACGCCTCCATCCCAGTGACTTCCTGGGGGTCCCTGTGACAGCTCCTGTGAAGGGTCTCCTCCCTGCCAGGGCTTGGAACGCAGATGGCCCCAGGGGAGCAAGCACTGACAGGGCTGCCACAGCTGTCCCAGGGGAGCTGGACTTGCATATTTTGGTTTTCTTTTCTCTGGGGAGTTTCCCGTCCTGTGATAGTGGCTGGGCGCATGTGCAGACCAATGAAACTACTGACAATACCGAGTCTTAAAAGGATTTCTTAAAACATTCATGGCTAGAAAAGGGGTCATCTTTTTGCCTCTTTTTGCATAATTTGTCAATTCATCATCCAGCTTACATGAGGGAAATTCAGGCTAAGACATGAACACCAACCGTTCTTCCTAAAGATGCAGATGAGCCCACTTGCCAAGACTCGAACCAAGAAACAAGAATCACAAACCTCAACAGACTGGGCGAGGGCCCCTCCAGTGAGCCCTCCAGGGCGCCCCGCCTCGGTCCCCCAGCCCGGGACCCCCTCCAAAACCCCGCCTGGGGCTCCAAGTCCAGCTCCTCAGCTACACAGGAGGCTTTTCCTGCTCATCCTCAGTGGGGTCTCCTGCATTGAGGTTCTTGCCCCAACCACATAGTGCCTGGGATTGGGAGGATTTGGGTCTCAGCTCCCTAACTAGGTTTAGATTTCTGTGTGTCAGAGAGGGGTTTCATGGTTTCATATCCCACCTGCCCAGCGCCTGGCTCAGTGCCCAACACGCAGAAAGCCCTCAACAAACATGCGTCGCAGAGCCGCCTCAGTGCATCCCTCTCTCTCTCGCTTGGCTCTTTATAATTAGACAGAGGCTCACCAGCCACATGGCCTGGGGTGGAGGAAGGCCTGGGGTGGAGGAAGGCCTGGGGGAGTTCATGGGGGCGCTGGCAGCTCTGAGATTCTTGCTTGTAGGAGAGAACATTCTGGTTTTGGGCATTGAAAATTCAAGTCCAAGTGAGGGTTGCCAGAGAAAATACAGGATGCCCAGCGACATGGTTTGGCTGTGTCCCCACCCAAATCTCGTCTCGAAGGGTAGCTCCCGTATTTTCCATGTGTTGTGGGAGGGACCCAGTGGGAGGTAACTGAATCGTGGGGGCAGTTTCCCCACGCTGTTCTGGTGGAAGTGAATAAGTCTCACGAGAACTGATGGTTTTATAAGGGGAAACCCCTTTTGCTTGTTCTCTCATTCTCTGTCTTGCTGCTGCCATGTAAGACATGCCTTGCGCCTTCCACGGTGATTGTGAGGCCTCCCCAGGCATGTGGAACTGTGAGTTCATTCAACCTCTTTTCCTTTATAAGTTACCCCAGTCTAGGCCGGGCGCGGTGGCTCAAGCCTGTAATCCCAGCACTTTGGGAGGCCGAGGCGGGCGGATCACAAGGTCAGGAGATCGAGACCACATTGAAACCCCGTCTCTACTAAAAATACAAAAAATTAGCCGGGCGCGGTGGCGGGCGCCTGTAGTCCCAGCTACTCAGGAGGCTGAGGCAGGAGAATGGCGGGAACCTGGGAGGCGGAGCTTGCAGTGAGCCGAGATCGCGCCACTGCACTCCAGCCTGGGCAACAGCGTGAGACTCCGTCTCAAAAAAAAAAAAAAAAAAAAAAAAAATTTCCAAAATTAGACATGAAGCGAGGACACCGACTCTTCTTGCCTCCCGTCAAACAGAAGAGTGGATGGAGACCTCGCCCACCCCCGCGCCGTCCTCTCGCCTGCTGACGCCCTGCCGTGGGCTGTTCCCTGGCTTTAGGCCTCGTCCACCCCCGCTGACGCCCCTGCCGTGGGCTGTTCCCTGGCTTTAGGCCTCCCCCCGCGCCGTCCTCTCGCCTGCTGACGCCCCTGCCGTGGGCTGTTCCCTGGCTTTAGGCCTCGCCCACCCCCGCGCCGTCCTCTCGCCTGCTGACGCCCCTGCCGTGGGCTGTTCCCTGGCCTTAGCCCTGTCTCCTGGTATAGGGGAGGTTTGAGGACACTTGAGTGCCTGACTGCGCCTTCTCCCTCTTTTCTGTTTCACAGGACAGCATCATCCTGGGCACACCACGGGTAGCCACGGAAATGCCCAGTGGGATGGGGGTGAGGCGGACGTTACCCGGGCCCAGCCTCTCCCTCAGCCCCAGCCACTTCCCTGTGGAGCTTACAGCCTCCTTGGCTGCCCAGAGGGAGGCGACAGGTAGACTTGGGTGGCGGAGACCCTCTGTCCTAGTGCGGAACGGTGCCTTCCCAGATTGCTATTCCGAATGTCGGGCTGGCCCCCCCGAGGTGCACAGCGGGACAGGTGGTCCATCCGGCAGGCCCGAGGGGCCGTCCCACTGTTACCTGCCAGGGACACTCCCCGTTCTCGCATTCCCGGCCGCCCACGATCCTGATGAGGTTGTTGTCACCCCTCTCGGGCTGCGTCTGGTTGAAGTCAAGCAGGTCAAAGGGGTTCTCGGTGGCGTCCAGGTCGGCTGCGTCATCCGGCTTCCATATGATGTTGTCGGGGGCTTCCCCGCTGCTGTTGGTGGCCTGGGCTGCTGACCTCTTCCTGCGCTCCAGGGTCTGTTTCCCACAGGGGTAGGGTCCTGAAAGAAAGAGGACGGCCGGGGCCTTCAGCACAGAGACAGGCTCCCCACACCCTGCACGGCTCACCCTAGTGGAGAGTCAGAGAGCCAGGAGGCAGAGCACGGGGGCACCCGGAGGGGCAGTGGGCCTGCGGGGCAAGGCGCCACATCGGCAGGGGTCGGGTCCACGGGTGAGTGCAGCCGTCCGAGCGTTGGCCTCCCCTCACGTGACAGCCTGTGAACACTGGACCCCAGGCAGCAGCCCAGGCAGCGAGGGGAGTGTGGGCGTCTGGGATTAGCCTGGAAATGCACCAAGAAGTCAAGAAAGCTTGACGGATGGACAGAGCCAAAGGGGCTGGGCAAAATGGGATGAATGCATCTGGCCAGAGGACGCCGACGGGAGAACCCAGGTGCTGGGCGTGTGCGGCTCCCTGCGAAATTCATTCCAGTGTGCTGTCTGTTGGAAAACTTTTCCTAATGAAACACTGAGGAAAAAAAAGTTTTCAGAGGCCATGCTACATGTTAGGAAGCTTCCTTTTGTATAAGCAATTCTCCTGCCTCAGCCTCCCGAGTAGCTGGGATTACAGGCATGTGCCACCACACCCAGCTAAGTTTTTGTGTTTTTTGTAGCGACAGTGTTTCACCATGCTGGCCAGGCTGGTCTTGAACTCCTGACCTCAGGTGATCCACCCACCTTGGCCTCCCAAAGTGCTGGGATTACAGGCGTGAGCCACCGTGCCCGGCCCACCCTTGGTTTTAAATGGATTTGTGATTATTTCTAGAATTAAAAAATATTCGCATGTATGTCAAGAAATGACTTCAGTTAAAATATTTTTTAACCAGCTTAAGCTTGAATGTCATTGCCAGTAGCAAGGTCAGCCACGGTGTCTTTCGCTTGCTGAGAGATTTCAGGCATAGAATTGAAGCAGTGCTTGAAGGATGCATCTGGAACCCGGTCTTTTCTTCATCACTCATCTTTGGAAGTAAATTGTTTTCAGTAAGAAGGATATGAAAGAAGGAGTGACAGAACACTCGGGGGTGACCTGTGTCTGGAGGGGACAGTCATGGCAGCCGGGGGCAGGACACAGTCTAGGGGCTGAGCCGCACCTGAAGCCGGAAGGTAAGCTGGGTCACCAGGCTCTTGAAAAGGCGGGCCTGGGACTCTGCACTTTGAATGTGCCCCTGGGTGAGGCCGACGCTGTGGGTCGAGCCGGCTATGAGTGGGAGTGGGGTCACTGTGCAAGGTGCAGCTGTGACATCTAGGCCCCGCCTTCGGGGGCCCCACCTGTGCTGGCCGTGCGGAAGTGCCCGCAGCCAGGCAAGCCCAGCGTAGGCGATGCCCACGGCGTGAGGACAGGGAGGCTCGTCCCCACCCTGCCCAGTCCCCGGCCTGTCCTGTGCTCACTGCCCTCTGGCCGCTTATTGTCCACATTCATCAAGGAAAAGAAAAACTAAGTTCAATTAACACTGGTCCTGGTAAAAGGAGCTCAGAGCCTGAGCGTCCTCTGCCTCCCACCCCAGCCCCGCACCTTAGCTCCAGTTCCTTGGGCCAGCTCTGCCCTTCGCCCGCCCTGGTGCTTTGAACCCTTGCACTGGATCCCCCACAGCCCTAACGCAGACTGAGGGCCTGTGGTGGGCCAGGCAGACATCGTGCAGAGTGCTCCAGGGATCACCCAAGCAGTCAGGCAATAGTGTTGGTCCCATTTGTCAGATGGGGAAGCTGAGGTTAAACAGCACATCTGGCTTACAGAAATAATGGGTCTATTTCCAAACCTCATGGTCTTCATGTTTGAACCACTTGGGCCCAGAGCCCAGGGCTCAGTCCTGTCCGGTTGGTGCCGCTGTTACCTGCCAGGCCCACCCAGAACATGCCCACGAGCATGGGCTTGTCCTCCCCGGCCCGGCCCGGCGGCAGCTGGTGGCTGTGGCCCAACGTGCCTCCTACCTGTGGGAATGCAGGCCTTGCCGTTGTCGGCCAGGGTGTACCCCCTGGCGCAGGAGCACACCACCGAGTTCTGCTCCTCGTGGCAGAACTGGTCACACTCTCCGTTGTCCAGGCTGCAGAGCTTCCGTGTGACTGCAAAGGAGAGGCACATTGACTCTGGGGACAGCTGGGGAAACGGAGGCTGGGCTGGCCCGAGGGTGACAGCCACATCCACTTGCCTGTCAGCCACAAAGCGGCCATTGGGTTGAGCAAAGGGCCAGAGCCAGGCAACAGGCACACTTGCCTCGAAGGGCAACCTCGCGGGTCACGGGGAGTTCGTGGTGCCGTGCCTGGTGGAGCCTGGCTTCCGTGGCAGACGCCAGGCTCCAGGGACCTGCCCCTCACACCTCCGGGCTTGCTGGCGCCCCCTGCCCCGTAGCACTCACATTACGGTGACTCCACATCGCTCTGTGTGGGTTTTGATGAAAAAGTAATCACAGTGCAAAGATCAACATGCATGGAATCTTGGAAAACGTTCATAATAGCCCTGGGAGCCCGAGCACAGTTATGCCTCGTAAGTTACCAAATGGTGTTCCAGGGAGGCGCTCTGGACTTACAATGAAATGATGCATAATTAATATTCCCATCAGGGAAAATTCAAAAGTAATCCAATCTAAGAACATGGTATAAAGATGATCAATTAAGTACTTTAAAAGAAACGCAAATCTTTTTCCTGAGGGAAAATTGATCTAATGGTAGCCTAACTTTTTATTTAAAAATTAACCACCACATTAGAGAAAGCACTTAGTGATTTTTCCGTGTAGAACTAATTAAATGTATCAAGTTTTTATAATTGGACAATCACAAATATTCACAAATATTGACACCTGCATCCACACACATAAATAAGAGGTGATTTAGAATCACTACACAGGAGTGGAATAACAGGAGCAGGAATAACAGGGCAATGCACTTGGCCTTAAAGAAAACAGAGTCCGCTCTTGTTTACACATGAATGGATCACACGCTTCTTCCATGTTCTACAGTCTCTCTTGGAGGAGCAGAGAAGTGACTGTGTCTCTCATCATACCCCCAAACCGAGTCATTTGGGGGACATGTTGGGGCTTTTCTTTTTCTATTGCTATAGTGGCACAGTGTAATAAAGCCCAGACTTTATAAATCAGAAATGACTTAAGATTGTTTCATTAGGCATTTTCACTTCTTCCCCCGTCCCACCAGCTACTCTTCAGGGGAGTATGATCTGAAGGTATACCAAGCAGAGGAACCTACACAATTCACAGTTTTTGCCTTCGAATCCTTCTAAACAGGTGCAGGTGTATTCCCCAAGGCCGTCTCTACATTTGCCCTCGTTCTGGCAAGGACTGGTCTCACACTGGTCGCCATCTGCAAAGAGAGGATTTCGAAACTGGAGTCTGCGAGCTGTTTCCGGCATCATGGAAACAGCTTTGCTGTGCTAACCTTGGCACTGCTGTTCAGATAACTGGAAAAGGCTTCCCGTTTCTCTGTAAACAACTCCTCCTCTTTGGACTTTATTTGATCCACTCCCTTTTGTGGCCATGTGTACGTGATGCCTTTATCTAGGTGGATCACCGGCCCGGCTTTTCGATTTTTTGCCAGTGTTTTGCAGTGTGTTTACAGTCAGAGGTGACCACAGGGACCAGCGGGAAGGATGGAGGAAAGGTGAAAGCCTGATGCTCATTTCTGGGCTGGGCCTTGATGGAAGAGGAGGTTAGGGTTCCTCTTTCCAAATAATCCTGGGGCAAAATGAGAAGGGCACACACTAACGTGGGGCTTCCCATTTCTTGGAGGATTTACATAATCTAAGTTAGAGATAGGCCCAGTTGTCATTCTGAGAAATGTGAATACTGTTACCAGGTAGTCATGACTGATGCCATTTCAGATGCTATTAAGCATGAAATGAAGGTGGTTACCTTAGTCGGGAATCTAATCTTTCATACTCTGTTTTTTGCTTTTACCGAATACACATGTATTTTAGAAAAGTTATCATGGAATTTGGTATCCTCAAATGAGAATGAACTGATTTAAATATATATCTCTAATTCAATAACAAAACTAGGATTAGTATAAAATTACTATAAAAACTCTTTTACAATAACTATTATGGAAACACTCCGAGTGAAAAAGTCTTAAATGAGTAAAATTTAAACAAAAGCCGAAAGGAAATTCAGGAAATATGTTCAAAATTCAAATGTCTTAATGAACCCCTCTCACTTAAGATTAAAACAGAAAAAATACTGACCTTTGTATTTATTCCAGAATTCATTCTACAAGGAAAAAAGAGATTTAAAAATATATTAGGGAAAACAGAGACATTTTATACCAATAACAACCATAATTAAGTGACTCAAGCTGAATAGGATATTTTCCCCAACAGAAGTCACTTTCAGGAATGAATTGTTCAAGAACTGTGCAGTCTAAAGAGGAAAGCTATTCAGATCTTCTGCGTCTGTGAAGATGTGGTTTCAGTCATCTTAAATGAACCATCTTTGTTGAATATTGAAAATATTTTCGGCTGGGCGCGGTGGCTCAAGCCTGTAATCCCAGCACTTTGGGAGGCCGAGACAGGCGGATCACGAGGTCAGGAGATCGAGACCATCCTGGCTAACACGGTGAAACCCCGTCTCTACTAAAAATACAAAAAACTAGCCGGGCGAGGTGGCGGGTGCCTGTAGTCCCAGCTACTTGGGAGGCTGAGGCAGGAGAATGGTGTGAACCCGGGAGGCGGAGCTTGCAGTGAGCTGAGATCCGGCCACTGCACTCCAGACTGGGCAACAGAGGGAGACTCCATCTCAAAAAAAAATAAATAAAAAATAAAAAAAAATATTTTCAAGTTAATTACCTAGAAAGGGGTTGCACCAAAAATGGCTTGCTCTGTTTGCTACTCCTGAGCTGGTCAATGGATGGTTTTTAGTTGCTATGCCTGAGCTAAACATTCAGATAAGGGTCACATGCTTGTCAATAGTCATTACGTTAGTTGAAAAATACTCATTGCTGATTAGCTTAAAACAGGTCATCAAGAACCTAGATTACACTAAAAAACGTCCATAGTCTTATTGTTTTTTAACTCCCTACAGGTGGTTGAAGTGTCCTTCCCTGTTAATTCAGGTCCACCTGCAGCCTCAGACTATAACCTTAATTGGAAATCAGGTCTTTGCAGATGTAACTAAGCCAAGGCTGTAGATGAGATCATGCTGGCTCAGTGTGGGCCCTAAATCAGGGAGAACGTCCTTATAAGAGACAGAAAAAGTCACGCAGAGGCACAGAGAGAGAAGGCCATGCGAAGATGAAGGCAGAGACTGGAGCGATGCGTCTGCAACCCAAGGATGCCCACGATTGCTGGGTGCCCCTGGAAGTGAGCAGAGCGCCTGGGACAGAGACTCTCTTAGACCCTCCAGAAGGAATAAACACTGCCGACACCTTAATTTCAGGCTTGTCTCCAAAGCTGCAACAAAAACTGCCTGTTACTTTAAGGTGTTTGTAGTGCTTTGTTATGGTTGCCCTAGGAAGCAAATACACTATCTTTTTACTTTTTTATTTAAAAAATTCTCACATAGTAAAACCAATGTTTTGGTGTACACTTCTGTGAATTTCAACACATGGAGAGACTTGTGTAGCCACCAGCATCATCAGGATGCAGAACAGGTCCATCCTCCCCCAAAAATTCCCCATGCCATCTCCCCCACCTGCCAATCCTTGGCAAGCCCTGCCCCACCACTAATCTACTCTTCATCACAATGATAACGACTTATTGAGAATGTCATGTAAATGAAAGTGTATATTACAGGACCTTGTGAAACTAGCTTTTCATTCAATACAAAGCCTTTGAAATTCATCCAAGTTATTGTTGTATCAATAGTTTCTTACTTGTTGTTACTGACAACTATTATATTGTATGGCTACACCCTGCAAAAGACATTTATCTTACTTCCAGCTTTTGGCAATTAGGAATAGAGTTGCTGGCCAGGCGTGGTGCCTCACACCTGTAATCCCAGCATTTTGGGAGGCTGAGGTGGGTGGATCATTTGAGGTCAGGAGTTTGAGACCAGCCAGGCCAACATGGTGAAACCCCATCTCTACTAAAAACACAAGAATTAGCCTGGCATGGTGACACACACCTGTAATCCCAGCTGCTTGGGAGGCTGAGGCAGGAGAATCGCTTGAACCTGAGAGGAAGAGGTTGTAGTGAGCCGAGACTATGCCACTGCACCCCAGCTTGGGCAACAAGAAGACTCTGTCTCAAAAAATAAAAATTAAAAAAAAAAAAAGACTAGAGTTGCTATATACATTGATATACAGGATTTTATGTGGAAATAAGTTTTCATTTCTCTAGGGTAAATGCCCAGAAATGGGATTGCTGAGTCATGTGGTAACTTTATATAACTTTATAAGAAACTGTCAAACTCCTTTTCAAAGTGGCCGTGCCATTTTGCATTCCCACAAGCAGTGTATCAAAGTTCTGCTTTCTCCGTATCTTAACCAGCACTGTTATATGTCAGTGTTTTTTATTCTATAAGTATGTAGTCATTTTCATTGTGGTTTTTATTTGCATTTCTGTAATAGCTTATAATGTTGAGTATATTCTCACATGTTTATTTTCTATCCATATATCCTCTTTGGTGAGGTGGCTGTTAAGGTCTTTTGTTCATTGTTTAACTGGGCGTTTATTTTCTTCTTTCTTTTTTTTTTTTTTTTTTTTTTTTTTTTGAGACGGAGTCTCGCTGTGTCTCCCAGGCTGGAGTGCAGTGGCGCGATCTCGGCTCACTGCAAGCTCCGCCTCCCGGGTTCACGCCATTCTCCCGCCTCAGCCTCCCAAGTAGCTGAGACTACAGGCGCCTGCCACCTCGCCCGGCTAATTTTTTGTATTTTTAGTAGAGACGGGGTTTCACCGTGTTAGCCAGGATAGTCTCGATCTCCTGACCTCGTGATCCACCCGCCTCGGCCTCCCAAAGTGCTGGGATTACAGGCTTGAGCCACCGCGCCCGGCCTATTTTCTTCTTTCAAGCTGTAAGATTTCTTTATATATTCTGAATATGATTCCTTTGATGGATATGTGATTTGCAAACATTTTCTCTTAGTTTGTAGCTTCTGTTTTCATCCTCTTAACAACAGTTTATTTTTGAAGTGCAAAAGTTTTTAATTTTGATAAAATCCAATTTATTATGTTTTTCTTTTATTAATCATTCTTTTGGTGTCATGTCTAAGAATTTTTGCCTAGCTCCATGTCATAAATTTTGTTGTATTTTGTCCTAAAAGTTTTATAGTTTTGTATTTTATCTTTGGATCTATTATCTATTTTGTGTTAATTTTTGAAGTTTAGGTCAGGTTCTTTTTTTTTTTTTTTTTTTTTTTTTTTTTTTTTTTTTTTTTTGAGACAGAGTCTCGCTGTGTCACCCAGGCTGGAGTGCAGTGGCGCAATCTCGGCTCACTGCAAGCTCCGCCTCCCGGGTTTACACCATTCTCCTGCCTCAGCTTCCGAGTAGCTGGGACCACAGGTGCCTGCCACCACGCCCAGCTAGTTTTTTGTATTTTTAGAGACGGGGTTTCACCATGTTAGCCAGGATGGTCTCGATCTCCTGACTTCGTGATCCACCCGCCTCGGCCTCCCAAAGTGCTGGGATTACAGGCTTGAGCCATTGCACCCGGCCCAGGTTCTTTTTTTGCATATAAATATATAATTGTTCTAACACTGCTGTGGTCTCAACATGCCCCCCATACATATGTTAAAATTTAATCAACAATGTAATAGTATTAAGGGTGAGATCTTTTTTCTTTTTTTTTTTTTTTGAGACAGAGTCTTGCTCTGTCGCCCAGGCTGGAGTGCAGTGGCACAATCTCGGCTCACTGCAACCTCCACCCCCCGGGTTCCCACCATTCTCCTGCCTCAGCCACCCGAGTAGCTGGGACTACAGGCGTCTGCCACCACGCCTGGCTAATTTTTTGTATTTTTAGTAGAGATGGGGTTTCACCGTCTCTTACGCCTGAACTCACTATTCTGTTCTACTGAGCTATGTGTCTGTTCCTTTACCAATACCACCCATTAATACCTCTGCAATTAATGTAGCTTTACAATAAGTCTTAAAATCAGGTAGTATGGCTCCTCCAATTTTATTCTTCCTTTTGAAAATTGTTTTAGCCATTCTAGTTCCTTTACCTTTCCATATAAATTTTATAATCAGCTTGCCTCTATTGACTAAATTTTGATTGGCAGTGTATTGCATTTATAGATCAAATTAGCAGAAATTGATATCTTAATATGTTGAGTCTTTCAATCCATGAACATTGTATGTGTCTCTATTTATTTAGGTCTGTTTAAATATGTTCATTGGAATTTTGTAGATTTTGGGATAAAGATCCTTTATATGTTTTATTAGCTTTACATATAAGTATATAATTTTCTTTGAAGCAATTGTAAATGGCACTTAAAAATTTTTGGCTTACAACTAACTGTACATTGCTACTACATAAAAATATTAAAATATGTGTGGTGACTTTGTATTCTGTGACCTATTACACTCATTTGTAAATTTTAGGAGCATTGATATGGTTTGGCTGTGTCCCCACCCAAATCTCATCTTGAATTATAATTCCCATAATCCCCATGTGTAGTGGGAGGGACCCAGCGGGAGGTAACCGAATCATGAGGGTGGTTCTCCCATGCTGTTCTCGTGATAGTATGTTCTCATGAGATCTGATTTTTTTTTTTTTAAGAGGATTCCCCCTTTGCTTGGCTCTCATTCTTCTCCCTCCTATAGCCATGTGAAGAAGAATGCATTTGCTTCCTTTTCTGCCATAATTGTAAGTTTACTGAGGTCTCCTTAACTATGTGGAACTGTAAGTCAATTAAATCTTTTTTCCTTTATAAATTACCCAGTCTCAGGTAGTTCTTCACAGCAGCATGAGAATGGACTAAAACAAGCTTTTTTCCCTTTCACATTCTTTAGGATTTTCTATATACATGATCATGTCATCTTCAAATAGTGATAACTTTATTTCTTTTTCTTGACTGATTGAAGGTCTTCTTTAGAGCTAGGGCTTCCAGTATAATGTTAGATTAGGAGTGTTGGGAATGGACATTCTTGTGTTATTCCCAGTCTCAGGGACAAAACATTCAGTTTTCACCTTTAAGTATAATATCAACTGTAGATTCTTTGTAGATGAACTTTATTATGTTGATAAAATTCCCTCCTATTCATATTCTGCTGATAGGTTTCTTTATCCATCATAAATGGATGTTAAATTTTGCCAGATTTCTTTGTTGCATCAATTGACATGATTATGTAGATGTTCTCCTTTGTTTATATGGTGTATTACATAATTATTTTTAAATATTGAGTCAGTCATGTGTGCCCCAAATAAACTCACTTGGTCATGGTATATTATTATTTTAAAAATATATTGCTGCACTGTTTGCTAATATTTTGTTGAGGATTTTCATGTCTAGGTTCATGAGATATATTGTTACGTAGGGTGGTTTTCATTTTCAATATTTGTCTGGTTTTGACATCAGGGTAATGCTGGCCTAAAACAAACTGAGAAGTGTTCCCTCTTCTATTTTCTAGAAGAATTGTATAGAGTTGGTGTTCTTTTTGAAATGTGTGGTAAAATTCTACCAGTGAAACCATCTGTACCTGAACATTACTTTTTCAGAAGGTTTTAAATTAAGAATTGAGTTGGCAGTTATCTATTTCATCTTGTGTATGTTTTGGTGGCTTGTGGTGTTGAAGAATAGTTTCATTTCATCCAAGTTGTTCAAATCTCATCCAAATTTATATGTGCAGAATTGTTCAAAGTATTTTTTTTTTTTTTTTTTTTTTTTTTTGAGACGGAGTCTCACGCTGTTGCCCAGGCTGGAGTGCAGTGGAGTGATCTCAGCTCACTGCAAGCTCCGCCTCCCGGGTTCCCGCCATTCTCCTGCCTCAGCCTCCTGAGTAGCTGGGACTACAGGCGCCCGCCACCGCGCCTGGCTAATTTTTTGTATTTTTAGTAGAGATGGGGTTTCACTGTGGTCTCGATCTCCTGACCTTGTGATCCGCCCGCCTCGGCCTCCCAAAGTGCTGGGATTACAGGCTTGAGCCACCACGCCCGGCCTAGTATTTTCTTATTATACATTTAACATCTGCAGTTTCTGTAGTGATGTCCCCTCTCTTCCATTTCCAACATAAGTCCTTTTTCTTGTTTGTTTTCCTGTCAATTTTGAGTTTCATCAGCTTATTAATTTTGCCTATTATTTTTGTTTTCAATTTCTTTGATTTCTGCTTTTTCAATTTCCTTTTGGTTTTTTTTTTCTAGTTTATTAAAGTAGAACAATTTGAGACCTTCTTTCTTTTCCCATATGAGCATTTAATGCTATAAATTTCCCTTGAAACACTGCTTTTTTAGCTGCATCCCACAGATTTTATGTTACATATTCATTTTTGTTCCGCTCAAAATACTTTACTTCCCTTAAAATTTTCTCTTTGACTCACAGATTATTTATACATGTGTGGATTAATTTCCAAGTACTTAGGGAAGTTTCCAGTTATTTTTCTGTTAGTAATTTTTAGTTTAATTCCATTATGGTCAGAAAACATACTTTATGTGAGTTTAATCTTTTTATTGAGGTATGCTTTAAGACACAGGATATAGTCTACCTTGAGGAATTTTCCATATGTGGAAAGAAAGCATACTTTGCTATTGTTGAAAATCCTATAAATGTCCGTTAGATTCAGGTCAAGCAATGTCTGGAAGACTGGAGGAGAAAGTGATAAACTCACAGTCAGTTGTATCATATCATACATCTAATTCTAATATTATTCCTCAATACACTGTGATTTACTTTTTAGGGTCCTCAAATAGCTGCTGCATGCATTCTCTCCATGTTTTGGAGCTACACTCAGTGGGAGAGGCAGTGTGGAATGTGCTTTCTTCATCTTATCTGGAATTGGAACTTGTTGATAACCTTTAATTCAGCCATCTGACTCTGGAGAAGCCGTTCTTAGGTGATAATCTAGAAGAAATGCATGCATATGTGTTTTCCTAATAGCAATATTTAGAAATAACTTATATGGCCAAACTCTGAGAGGAGTAAATGCATCATACAATAAAATATAGCTTAGCTATAGGGTAGCTATATAGAAGTAAAGAAGAGTGTCTGAGAAATGATGCTGAGTGAAACAAACTTGGATCAGCATTATTTAAGAAAAATTCTACCAGTGGGAAAAAATACATGTATATATAAGGAATATATAAGGAGTAGTTGAAAATAGTTCTGAAAATTCTAATTTTTTTCTATTAGAGAAAAATCATCTATTTGCTAACAAGGAATAAAAAGGAATTTTTAATTGAAGAATTAGAGTAGACCTTGATCTTTTGCAGAAATGCAAAGATATCTGAGTCACACAACTTAGACAATTAACATCTTCTAGAAAGAAGTGTCAGTGTTGTGTTTCCATTTTATTAGTGGTTGCCACATTCTTTCTTGTCTTCAAGTTTCATGCCAGGAGGCAGAAATATTTCCTTGATGTTGTGGGAATCTGTGAGAAACATGGTAACACATTTGATTGTCATGCTCCAACTAGCTGTGGGCAGAAGCCCATATTCCAGGGTTGTACAGAAGCTTTCATCTATGAATGTGGCCTCACCATCTTCACTGGCCTTGTCTTGTTTGTCAACAGCTGCTGCTGTTGCTGCATGGAAACACTCAGCTATCTTCATGACAAATAGCTCAAAGTGCTCAGTGAGACCCTCTTAGAATGATCTATTTGGTCAAAGAGCTCATTATCTGCAGGTGATAACAGATACATGTGGGACTGATGTAAGTCACTTTCAGGAACTCCTTGACAAGCTTATCAAGGAGCCTGGATGTGTTCTGAGGTGGAAGACTTTCAAAAGCTTTTGTTACATAGACATCACCAAGAATTTTTTGAGTTTCTTCAGTTCCAAAGAGGTTAGTTTCTGATAGCATCACACCCAGCACTTTTTCAAGCTCTTCTACCACGCTGATTCTCCAGAAGGGTGAGGAGAAGTCAACCCATAAGTTTGGTTTTCTGAGCCATCTGGATGGTGGGTGACCTTGTAACCACCTGTGATGCGCTTCATCCCTGACATAATCTTATCTTGGATTTCAATGAGATCATGATAGTCTGCACAGACCATGTAGGGTAGCAAATCAAATACATTCTCTTATTCCTTAACTGGCATCCAATTGCATAAATCCAGTCAATGCTACTAACCAGCATCTTAAGGTAGAGCCCTGGAGCAATTCTCAAATACAAGTTAATGCCCAGCTTGTTGTGGCAGGTGATGAAAGGCTTAGCCCCTGCTACCCCGGGATGACGTTCATCATGAGGGTTTCAATGTCTAGAAATCTCAACTCATCCAAAAACCTTCTCACATATGTGGTGATCTTAGGGTAGATGATACACTGGTTTCTCAGAAAGTCACTCAGGATCAAGCCCAAGTACTCAAATAATATTGGGTCTCCTTTTCTTTGAGGCTAAAGTAAGGATGGGGCAACCTGTGAGCCAGGAGACAGCCGTGCAATTTTGCAAGGGCTGATGCTGAGCTCACCCTTCTTGCTGTTTCCCAGATTTTCCTGGACTCTGAGTATGTCTCCCTGAGGCAGTTTATTCATTGACTTATAATTCCTAGACCTGGCCATAATTGCAACTTCACCCTGGTCCGTGGGGGTCACCAGAAGATGAACTTTCCCCAGCTCTTTTGGCATGGATCTTCAGGGTGACATCAGTCAGGTGGCCCCAGGCTGCAGGCGACTGCACTCCTGGATGAAGCAAGTGAGTGATGTCCACATGGAAGCTGCAGGGGCCTTCCCCAGTAACCTTCGGCGGTGGCCTGCGCTGGGGGAACCTGTAAGGGGACTCCGAGTTTCCATTCGAGGCCATAGTCAGTGGTGTGGCTGACGGCACCAGCCGCGGCCGGCCTAGCTGTTGCTCACTGAGCTCCGGCTTGGCCCCCTTGAGGCTACTTTCTTCTCTTCAGCTCATTCCTGTCAGTTGGGGATCACCGCCGCCCACTTCCGCTTCGGAGCCCTGTCCTGCAGGCACCTTTCCTGAGGCCTGGGGTGAGGAATTCGAGACCCCTCAGCCATTTCCAGGTTCGACCGCAGCCCCGCCCGCCTCGTCAGGGGAGAGGGGGCTGGCGCCATCCGCGCGGAGCTGCTGCGGCTGCGTAATCGCGGCCTGGTGTCAGCGCGTTCCTCCTACTGCGCAGGCGCAGTGCTGGGTTCGCGGCCCAGCCTCAGTGCTAGTCCTCCTGCTGCGCAGGCGCAGTACTGGGCTCGTGGCCTGGCGTAGGTTGTGCGCCTGCGCGCTGGCGCTCTAGGCTGTGGCTCTCAGCAACTACGGAGGGCAAGGCCGGAGGCGGGCTGGGGGCGTGGGAGGGCACGATCTCAACTCACTGCAACTCGGCGAGGCACTGGCCGAGGCCATGATTATTGGTTTTTAGGTTAGCATTTTATTATTAAATGGACTTAACTCTGGCAGAAGCCCTGTGACCGTCAAGGGACTTGGGCGCATCCCTCCCCGCTGAGTCCTCGCTGGGAAGGAGTCAGCGCGGGGGCAGCACTGATGTCCCTGTGGACAGGACTCTGCCCCGGAAAGCCCCCGCGCGCTGCCCCTTCCTCCAGGCCGTCCCCTGGAGCTTGGGCCAGCCAAGGGCTGTGGTCTGAGCTCCTTCCCCACAGCCCAGCCCCAGCTCTTACCGTCTTGTCGCTGTCCTCGAAGACCTCGCGGGCCTCTTCGTATGAGCAGGTCTCTTCCATGCACTCTCTTTCAAGGTTTCCTTTCTTCATCTCTTCAAGAAAGGAATTGGACCTCCTGACCCTCGCCAGGACGTTGTTGGCCTGCTCCCTGCGGATGAACACTGGAAGGCAGGAAGGACAGGGTTAAAAGCTCCGGTCGCCCTCACCCAGGTTCCCCTTCACCCAGAGTCCCCTCACCTGGGCTCCTTTCACCCAGACTCCCTCTCACCTGGGCTCCCTTTCACCCAGATTCCCTCTCACCTGGGCTCCTTTCACCGAGACTCCCCTCACCTGGGCTCCCCCTCACCCGGGCTCCTTTCACCCAGACTCCCCTCACCTGGGCTCCCCCTCACCCGGGCTCCCCCTCACCCGGGCTCCTCCTCACCTGGGCTCCCGCTCACCCGGGCTCCCCCTCACCCGGGCTCCTCCTCACCCGGGCCCCCCCTCACCTGGGCCCCCCCTCACTCGGGCTCCTTTCACCCAGACTCCCTCTCACCTGGGCTCCCTTTCACCCAGATTCCCTCTCACCCGGGCTCCTTTCCCCCAGATTCTCCCTCACCTGGGCTCCCCCTCACCCGGGCTCCCCCTCACCCGGGCTCCTTTCACCCAGACTCCCCTCACCTGGGCTCCCCCTCACCCGGGCTCCCCCTCACCTGGGCTCCCGCTCACCCGGGCTCCCCCTCACCCGGGCTCCTCCTCACCCGGGCCCCCCCTCACCCGGGCTCCTTTCACCCAGACTCCCTCTCACCCGGGCTCCCCCTCACCCGGCTCCTCCTCACCCGGGCTCCTCCTCACCCGGGCCCCCCTCACCCGGGCTTTCACCCAGACTCCCTCTCACCCGGGCTCCTTTCACCCAGATTCCCCCTCACCTGGGCTCCCCCTCACCCAGGCTCCCCGTCACCCGGGCTCCCCGTCACCTGGGCTCCCCCTCACCTGGGCTCCTCCTCAGACTCCCCCTCACCCGAGCTCCCTTTCACCCAGATTCCCCCTTACCTGGGCTCCCCCTCACCCAGATTCCCCCTCACCCAGGCTCCCCCTCACCTGGGCTCCCCCTCACCAGGGCTCCTCCTCACCCGGGCTCCCCCTCACCCATGCTCCCCGACTGCGATGCCCCTTGCCACACCCACATCACAAAAGGCGGATCACTCTCTTGTAAACCAAAAATAAAATTCTAGGCCGGGCGTGGTGGCTCAAGCCTGTAATCCCAGCACTTTGGGAGGCCGAGACGGGCGGATCACGAGGTCAGGAGATCGAGACCATCCTGGCTAACACGGTGAAACCCCGTCTCTACTAAAAAATACAAGAAAACTAGCCGGGCGAGGTGGCGGGCGCCTGTAGTCCCAGCTACTCGGGAGGCTGAGGCAGGAGAATGGCGTGAACCCGGGGGGCGGAGCTTGCAGTGAGCCGAGATCGCACCACTGCACTCCAGCCTGGGAGACAGAGCGAGACTCCGTCTCAAAAATAAAAATAAATAAATAAATAAATAATAAAATTCTAAGCCCCCAACTCACTGAGTGGACCGCTCCTCTCTGCCAAGGGAATTCCATAGGAACCTGAAAGACTAGTTGAGGCTATGAGGGGAAGTGGGTCCCACCTGCCTCATTATTTCTTTCTCCCGTTGGAATTCAGGCACAGCTGACCAGCATTCACATTAAGAGAACTTAAGGCTGACCAGATTGTTTGTAGCAATAAGATACCAGTTTCCAACCTGATTTCTCTAGTATAGGACCACATGACATATAGCAGTCCCTAAAACAAATGATTTTACTCCAAATTGTATTTCTTTGACATATTTTGAAATGGCCCCGCAAAGCTGTTTCAGGGAAATCCACATTCTGTAGAGAACCCCCTTACCTTTCCAGGTCTTTTTCTGAGCTGAGAGTCTAGCACCTTTTTTTTTTTTTTCTCTTTAAGATGGTGTTTTGCTCTGTCACCCAGGCTGGAGTGCAATGGCATAATCTCAGCTCACTGCAACCTCTGCCTCCCAGGTTCAAGCCATTGTCTTGCCTCAGGAGGAGAGTCTCCTGTCTCAGCCTCCCGAGTAGTTGAAAATATAGGCAAGCACCACCACACCCAGCTAATTTTTGTATTTTTAGTAGAGGTGGAGTTTCACCATGTTGGCCAGGCTGGTCTTGAACTCCTGACCTTAAGTGATCCACCCGCCTCAGCCTCCCAAAGTGCTGGGATTACAGGATGAGCCACGGTGCCTGGCCATGAGTGTAGCACCTTTTAAAGGTCCAAGAGGAAACAGTTGCCATCTCTTGCCTCTAAGGGTGGCCACCTGTGAGTCTTCATCTACATGACAAGAACCTTGGTCTTTACCTCTTATCTTAACCCAGATACTCCTTTCTGTTTATTCCAGGTCTTTAGATAATAACTTTCTTTTTTCTTTTTTTTTTTTTTTGGACAGTCTTGCTCTGTCACCCAGGCTGGAGTGCAGTGGCACGATCTTGGCTCACTACAAGCTCTGCCTCCCAGGTTCACGCCATTCTCCTGCCTCAGCCTCCCGAGTAGCTGGGACTACAGGTGCCCGCCACCTGGCCCGGCTAATTTTTTTTTTTTTTGTATTTTTAGTAGAGACAGGGGTTCACCGTGTTAGCCAGGATGGTCTCGATCTCCTGACCTCGTGATCCGCCTGCCTTGGCCTCCCAAAATGCTGGTATTACAGGCGTGAGCCACCGTGCCCAGCTGATAACTCTTTCAACTGATTGCCAATCAGAATATCTTTGAAGCCACCTAGGACCTGGAAGCCCCCACCTTCCCCTTTTCTGGAACGAACCAGTGTACACCTTATGCTTATTGATTGGCGTCTGCATGTAACTTCTGTCCCCCTAAAATACATAAAATCAAGCTGTGACCCGACCACCTTGGACACATGTTCTCAGGACCTCCCAAGGCTGTGTCATGGGTCATGGTCCTCACATTTGGCTCAGAATAAATCTGTTCAAATATTTTACAGAGTTTGGCTTCTTAGTCAACACTTTCCTCAGGCACTTTGGGGACTGTGGAGGGAAATGCCTATCTCCCTCCCCCGCCCAGTTCTCTATGAGGTACAACATGAGGCACCTGCTCTAGACCCGCGCACCCTTCTCTGGAGAAGTAGACACATCCCATCCAATCAGCTCACCAGCCTCCTCACATGCTCATGCTGGCTCAGGCTGGCCACTCAAGCCCCCTTCCTTGAATTCTCCCTCTCCAGGGTGCTTTCAGCCCACTCTGCTCTGTGCTTTGGCTCAAACTGTGCCCCTTCAGCCTGGCCCCACTCGTCTTTAAGGTCTTTGCTCTTTGTTATGTGGGGATTGGTGGTGCTGTTTCGATTACAAACTATAAAAGTACAATTTAAAGTGCCAGGACACACATACTTGCCAACTTTCAAGAAATAGTACTTATTAGTATTTCCTAAAAAACAGTACTTAGTACAAAGTGTTCTATTTGATTCTACTCTTTTTTTTTTTTTTTTTAATTTTAATACTGAGTTGATTTCATGACTGGCAAATGAGTCTTGATCTGCTGGTTAAAATGCCCTGGATCTGAGAGTCTGTGTCCCTCGCAGGGTGTATGTCTGTGGGCTGTGCTGTCCCCATCTCTCTGCCTGTGTCTTCTCTGTCTCGCACCCACTCCTCCTCCTCTTTTCATTGTGATAGCCTCAGTTTCTTTTCTTGGCCCTCTGTAGTCTTTTTCTGTACTTTTTTCCACTGAAAAATTAAGTGTCTCACTACGAGAAAGATGACTCTTCCAATTGATCTCTCTAGCACTGACTTTTGTCCTGAGTTCCATGTTTTCAACTCTCACTATGACAGATGCCTTCCCTCATCTCGGAACTCCAAACTCTCCATGTCCAACATTTAAAACAAGACAATCTTGAGTTTCAAAAACATCTTAGTCACTTATTTATTATTGGCAGATGGGAATTATAATACCTACTCTTCGAGTTGTTTTAAAGATTGTGTAAACTAGTGTTGAGTTTGGAGTTTGGTATACAGAAGGTGCTCAGTAAATCTTGGCTTCATTCCTACCTCCAGTTACTTTACCTTCCAAATTCCCCGTTTCTTTTAGTGACACTGACATTGTCCCACCAGCGCTAGGCTTAGATTTATTATTTGTTGGCCCTGCCGCATTACTCTGTGTGTCTGCTCCACTCCCACGCACTTGCTCTGAAATGCAGCCCACACATGGCTCCTGCAAGTCTGCACACCTGGCTCCCTGCAACCTGCAGCCTCATGTCACCTCCACTCCACAAAAGGCACTAAGGAAGCTGGGGGGCAGGGAATGCCCATCTCCCTTGGGGCCCCTGGCTCTCGTGTTGGGATGCAGCCTCAGACAAGTTATCCAAGCCTGGCTTAGTGTTTCCCAAACTGGGACTTGCAGACCTCCTGGGCTCCAGTTGGGGTCTCAGTGTTCTAATGCATTTCCACGTGAACACCTCTCTTGGTCCCTTCTCTCTTCCCCTTGGTCTCCTTCCTTGTGGCCATATTGACATACACCTGGTTTTCTCTCTGCTGCCCTAGAGCCACAGTGACGGTTCATAGACTTGCCACAAGGCTTGGTCCCCACTCAACCAGGGCCTGACGTGCTCACTGTCTCTGGTCAGTCCCTCGCGCCTCCTCTGACCTCTTAGAGGAACTCGCTGTTCTGCAATGCCAGCCACAACTCTGTTCCCCTTGGCATCCACCCCCGAGCATCCCCAGGCTGATTGACCACTAAGAATGCACTTTTCCTTTGCAGCCCTTGTCCGATTCCCGCCTTTTCCCATCTCCCTGAAACCTGCTCAGCTCTCCCCAGCTCATGGGGGTGGGACACTGCCTATAAGGTTGAGCTGGACTGTGTGGGGAGGAGGATACAGGTGGCAGGTACGGGGTGGAAAGGGTGATGCAAGGAAGTCAAGGACCACCCAGAATCTGCCTCTAGTGGTCTTGGAACAGTCCAGGGTCTTCCCATGGCCAGGCCTCCCAGGCCGCACCACCTTCAACCCTGCCCTCATTCATCTCTCTCTGCTACACTGGGCTCTGTGCTGACCTTGGCTGAGCCCAACACTCACACTCCAGGACTTTTGCACCGGTCACCTCCCTGTCTGGAACATTCTTTCCACAGATACCCACGTGGCTCAACCCCAGCTCCCCCTCCCCGCGAGATCCTCCCTGACCACGCCCTCTGACATTGCCCCAACTCGTGTCTCTTCCATCCCCTTAACACTGTGCTATTTGTCTTCTAGCGCCGAACCCCTCTCTGACATTACGTGCTGACAGGCTCATCCTTCCCTCCGCTGGAAAAAGACGTGGCGCGTTTGGTCCCAGCTGTTTCCCCGTGCCTAGCACGGCCGGAACTTAACCAATATGTGCTGAGGGAATGAAGGAAAGACTGCACACCTGGCTCGGCCCTCTGGACTGAACCTGGGCGCTTCTGCTATGGCTGAGTCGCATCAATGCTTCATTCAGACTGAGCAGGCCAGGCCTTGGCCACGTGGCCACACTTTCTGATGTGAATAAAATGGGATTGGCAAAACGAAATGAAAACGTGCCAAGGTTTTTAGACACTTGTCTCCAGAAATTAATGGAACACTCCAGAGCTCTGATATGGAGCGTCCAGATTGGTAGATGTTTGTTGTGTGGGTTTGTTTCTTCAGAAGCCGTGGGGAGCATTGCAGTCCTTGAGCACACGGTTGTGTTTGTGGTTTTGGCGACATCAGTGAATTCCATAGTGAGCAACTGCATTTGAGCAAGTTTTATCAGCAAGCAAAATTTTCAGTCACTAAGGTCCAAACTCATGAAGAAGGGACTTAAACTTGCTGAATGTAAAGACTGAAACTGAAGCCACGTAGCTTTAATGATTGCCAGTGCAACAGCGGTGGTTTAAAGGCTGGCACTGCAGGTGCTCTGCATATTCTGATTTTATTAACATAAAAAATTGGATTGCAGAAAACACTCACAGGTGGCAGGACAGGGCTGAATAACATCCCTGCAAATTCATGTCTTTCCCAGAGCCTCAGAACGTGACCTCAATTGGAAATAGAACTTTTGTGATGTATTTAGTTAGGAAGACATTTTATGGGATAGGGTGAGCCCTAAATCCAATGACTGGTGTCTTTCTGAGAGAAAAGAAGACAGAAAAACAGCCATGGTGAGAACCCCACTCGATGATGGAGGCAGCGATGGGAGCAATGCTCCCAAAAGCCACGGGCTCTGAAGCCACTGGCACCCCGAGGCCGGGAGACAGGCTCGGAGCAGACTCTCCCCCAGCCTCTGGAGGAACCAGCACCACTGACACCTTGATTTTGAACTTCCAGCCTCCAGAGCTGTGGGAGAAACATTTCTGTTGCTTTAAGCTACTTGGTCCATGGTCTTTTCTTATAGCAGTACCAGCAAAGCAGTGCTGAGGTCCCCCTGTCCCAGAAGAGCTTCCGTGACAGGCAGGACAGCCGAGTTCATTTAAAGGCTGAACTGCAGATTCTGTGCGCATTCCGATTTTTTTAAAATCAAAAGTGTGCACAGCAGGGTCCTGGGTGGGACCTTCTGGGGCCTGTGTTCAGCCCCACCCACCCCACAGTGCAGCTGCCAAGGTCTCTCAGGCAGAGTAGGGGAGGGAGATGGCCTGGCCCTGGCTCTCTGGGGCTGACCATGTCCACCCAGGGTCCAGGCCGGCCCCCGGGGACACCACAGGCCATGGTCATGGGTCAGGTCTGCATCACACAGCTAAGGGTGTCAAGACCCTGTGGACCCAGAGGTCCGTGAGGTGGGCGCCTGCATTTCCCATTGGCAGGAAGGGAGGCTGGCGCTCCACCAGGACCCCGCGTGACTCCCCTAGTTTCCTCCTGTGGGTCTGGGTGGGCTCCTGGCCTGTCCTCTCATCTCCACCCTCTGCTTCTTCCCAGGAAGAGGAGTCCTGCCAACTTCCACTCCCAAGAAGCCAGAGCAGCTTCCAGAGCCTCAGGCTGGGCTTAGGATCTCAGAAGCCCCGAGCATTCTGGTTGCAGAATTTTCTACCAATGCAATGAAGCATCTGTCTGTTTGCAGAGTGGCTTTGCTGTCAACGATGACGGCATGGGCCCTTCCAGGGCCTTGTTGCACCTGCGCTGATCTCATCACACCACACACATCACGGTGGGCTCCTGCACGGGGCGGTGTGGCCTGAGGGGCGGGGAGAAGGCTGGGCGAGACGGAGCCACACAGTACCCCATGAAGAGTTCCGTTCTGTGCGGGAGACGGGAAGACATGGCTCAGGGGACAGAGGCTGGGGAGGGCAGGGGACTGAGGGTGGGATGGAGAAGACCCCCGGGTGATGTGACTGGAGCTCCAGGCCACCAGGCGGAGGGGCCGTTTAGGTCAGCGATGCACTGAGGATCCACTCAGCCTTCCCGGGAGTCTCCCCTTTCCACCCCACGAGGGTCTCCCCTGCTCCATCTCTCCCTCACACACTCCCTTCCCAGGCCTGGGTCCCCTTGGTGCCCCTGCCTGTCCACTTTATCCAGGATGCAAACAAGTCTAGGGTCCCCGTCTCTCGTGTCCCCACCAGAGGGGCCTCCTCTTCCTCCGCTGCCCCCAGCCTTGCCTGGCTTCTGCCCTTTCTGGGCCTCTGCTTTTGGAGAGGCCTGGGGGTCCTGGACAGCCCTGCTGCTCCCACCTGTCCAGCTGTGCATTAGGCAGCCCTTCCCAGGCGGAGCCAGTCCCAGGGTGGTGGCACTGGCTCGGCTCAGCCTCCTCTTCCCTGCGAGCTCCTCTGCTGTGCCCCTCGTCCTGTGCCTCCCTGTGGTGGCAGACGGCCAACTGTCCTGTCTCTGCCTGCTCCCACCTCTCCCTCCGTCTCTGTCTCCCTGTCTATCTCTGTCTTTGCCTTTTGGCCTCCCATCTCACTGTGTCTCCGTTTCTCCCTCCCTCTCCCTCTCTCTCTCGCTGACTCCGTCCTTGTGTTTTTGTCTCTGTGACCTCTGATCCTCCCGTCTGACTCTCAGCCACAGGGAGCCACAGCTGGCCTTGAGGACGCCCTTGGCTGGAAAGGCCAAGCCCAGCCATCTGAGGCCAGCCTCTGACAGAGGCCAAGACACCCACTGTCCAGGCTGCGGAGATGAGAGGGTTTCCCCAACTGCCGCCCCTCCCTGCTCCCCAGGGCTGCCTTTGGGCCTGAAGGGCGGGGGGCACTTACGACTTTCCCCGGGCAGCAGGAGGCTGGCCAAGAAGGCACTGAGCAGGACGAGGTGCAGTGGGCGCCCCATGGTGTGGCCGAGTACCGTGTGCCTGTCCTCACTGGGACAGGCTGCCGGAGCAAAGTCCACGCCCGGCCGGGATGGCTGTTGTGCGGCTGCTTGTCACTTGGCTTAGGCCCCCTGATTGGAGCCGAGGCCCGCTGGCGACGCAGGGGAATGACCACGCTGGGAACACAGCCACTCTGGCCCCACCTTCCCCAGGCAGAGCTGGGCAGCCGGAGAGGCCCCGCAGAACCTCATCCTCATCGGTCACCAGGTCCGCGGGCGCGGGGACTTTCTGTTCTAAGAATAAAAACATAATTTCATGCTTGTTTTGTAGTTTCCAGATGTTTACATCTAGCTCTCAGTCCTCACAATCACATAAAAATATCATTTTTCCAGAACAGAAAACTACGTCTAGAGAGCACAGAAGCCGGAGCCCGGGGCCACCGGCAGTGAGTGTGGGGTCTGAGCCTAGGACTTCTGCCCCAAGGCCCTGCTTGCTTCTGGGCGGGCCCTTCCGCTCACGGCCATTCTCTGGGTGGTGTCAGGTGGTCTGATGTCACGGGGGGGCTTGGCATCTGCACCACGGTCTCCCACAGGCCAGGCTGGTACCTGCCCCACCCACCCCCAAACCTTCTGTGCCCACATGGTCCCAACATGTACTTCTGTGGGGAGTGGCCCTCCCCTGACCATCTGGAGGGACAGGCTCTGTCTGAAACCCCTCCTGACCTGCCCACCACTGGCCACACTGTTCCGAGGCTGAGAGGGCTTCTGGGCTCATTCTCCAGCACAGAAACCTCCTGTCACCAGGTCCCTGAGCGTCTCCGCTCAATGGCTGTGGGAGTCACTGGGAGGTGCAGCCAGGATTTTTGCTTCTGAGGTCCCTGGAATAAATGGTCTAAAACTTGGCCAGTGTGGCAATCACTACCTGCTATGCCGTAGTGGCCGGAGCAACGCCCCTAAAACCCACAGTGCTGGCCACTGCCTCACGGTGTGTCTGCCTTGATGTGTTGCCCGTCTCGCAGCCACCTGCACCTGGGCCTGGTGTGCACACATTGTGCGTCATTGTGCCTGGCACACAGGAGGTGCTCACTGGGCCCCACCCGACTACACAAACTGATGGCACTGGGTGCCAACGCCAGGGTAGCCTCCCACGGTGGGCACCACGCACAGCCCAGTCCTCTGAGAGGGGCCTTCCTGGTGGCACCAGATGTCTTGACTCCTGCCTCTCGTGGTCTCCACACTCCGACATCGCCTCTAGGCACGTTTGTATGGAGAGACCAATGTGGTGTGTGCACCAGCAGCAGGATGCTCATGGCAGACATGCAGTCTTTTTCATCAACGCTGGGTGGTGATGCTGGCTTTGGAGGCCCGAGCCTGCCGCCTCGCCCCACCCTGTCGCAGGCCCATGGCCAGTGGCCTCCCTGTATTCTATCTCGCCACTCACAGAAAGCTGGAGCTGAGCCATGGCAGGTGGCACGTCCCATAAGAAATGTAGCCTTCGAGGGTGCCCAGGCCCTTCAGCAAAGTTTCTGGAGAGTCCCGGGCCCCCTCCTTCAGCAGCACCGTGAGGTGGGTGCCTGCATTTCCCATTGGCAAGAAGGGAGGCTGGCACCCCACCAGGACCCCGCATGACTCCCCAGTCACTCGGACAAAAGAGAAAGCAGAGCCAGCTCTGACCTGATCAGGGCCCGCCACTGGCCCCCGTCCCTGTGTGGGGGCATTAGGAACTGGGGTCTGGCCAGGGTCAGCCAGCATCTTCGGCAGAGGTCCTGACACTAATCATGCTGGGCTTGGCAGGTCAGCTGGTCTGTCTGGCTGGACATCTCTGTCACGGCCACTCCATGGACACTAACGTGGGTGTGTTCCCATAAAACTTTATTTACAAGAGCAGGGTAGCTTGGAAGCAGCCCTCGGCTGTAGTTCACGGACCCTGTCTGCTCTAAAGTAGATGTTGCCTGAGTGCCCCCGAGGTGGGTTGCTGGTGCCTGCCTTGCTGCTGTGAGCGCCACTGGTGCCCAGGACGGCCCTACAGGGATGGCGTTGAGTCCGCTCTCTGAGCCATGCTTGCTGGAGTCTGAGTGCGGGCAGTGTCTGTCACCTCCCCATTTCTCTGCTCATGTGTTTCTCATTCTTCCCCTACCACCCTGGGGACTCAGCAAGAGTGCAGCTTGCCAGGTCCTCCCACTGCAGCCAGGGCCTGGGAACCTGCATTTAGTGGTATGTCCCTGATTCTCAAGCAGGTGCTCCCAGGGTCTCTGCGAAATATCATTGACAAGGGCTGTGGCAGGGAGAGAACAACCAATTCCACAGGGTCCTGGGAGCTACAGCCCCAAACATCTATCAAAGAGCTTTTGTTTTTAAAAAGAACAGCTGCCATGTGAGGGTTCATTTCAGTGATGCTGAAAACTGTGAAAGAAAAAAGCATCTCAGAGGATGAGCACTGGGGGCTCTGAAAATGAATCACAGGCTACACGGTGGGTGGCAGGCCCCACAGGCGTGCGGAGGAGATGCAGCCATTTATTGTGAAGTTGGGAAGCCGGTGGGGAACGGCCTGTGCAGCCCGGCACATTTGGGGGAGAGTTTGGGGCATTTGCCAACATGCATGGTGATGCTTCTGAATTGTCTGAAATGAAGATGATAATGGATAAGAACAAGAAAAGTGAGAGCTAAACAACCGCCTTTGGAGGACAGCACACATGGAGTCAGCATCGGTGTGTGTGCACTCATCCATGTGTGTGCGTATCTGTGTGCATCTGTGTGTGTGCATATCTGTGTATGTGCACATCGGTGTGTGCATATCTCTCTGCATCCGTGTGGGTGCATTAGTGTGTGTGTGCATTGGTGTGGTGTGCACGCATCTGTGTGTGCGCATATCTGTGTATATGCATCCGTGTATGTGCATATCTCTGTATGTGTGTGTGTCAGTGTGTTTGCATATCTCTGTGTGACCCTCTGTGTGTGCATCCGTGTGTGTGCATTGGTGTGTGTGTGCATTGGTGTGTGTGTATGCATCCACGTGTGTACATGCCTCTAGTGTCTCCAGCAATGAAGGCAGAACAGCAGCCTGAGGCCAGCAGATCACGGGCAGGTGGGCTTGGCTGAAGAGAGATAAGGAGGCTCAGCTGGGCTGTCTGCCTCCAGGACAACCGCGGCATTCCCCTGCCCCTCTGTCCAGCGCCTGTCTGCCTCTGCATCTCATCTTTTCGATTCCTTCTCTGTGTCTCTATTAGGCTCTTTGAATCTTGGAGTCTCTTTGAGTCTCTCCATGTCCTCAGAACCTCTCCCTCAGTCTCTCCCTGTCTCTTTGTCTCTCTGTTTCTGTCTCTGTCTCCCTCCCCACCTCTCCCTCCCTCCCATGCCCTCCTCTACCCCATGAACTGCAGAAGAATCGATGGGATTTTGTGCCAGAACAGTTCTACACAGCCTTGGCTTTCTCTCCAGGGGGCAGGGCTGCTAGGCTAGGGAAATGGGGCTCGCAGGAGGACGCCTGGGCGTGGCTCTGAGTGCATGAGCTTTTGCAGCCACTCGATGTACTGGGAGACCCTGGTGTACACCCCGAAGTGGCCCACGGCCGCGCAGCCCTGGCCCCAGCTGACGATGCCTGTCAGGTACCACGTGCCCCGGTAGCGGGTGGCGTGTGGGCCTCCACTGTCCCCCTTGCAGGAGTCCCTGCTGCCGTCCGAGTAGCCGGCACAGAACATGTACTCCGTGATATTCGGGGAGGCTTCTGCCTTCTGTGACTGCTGCAGGCAGTCCTGGGTCATCAGCCGGGGCACGTTGAGGGCCATGAGCTCCAGGGCTGTGGCACCACGGTCCAGCAGCTGACCCCAGCCGCTGACCAACGAGAAGCGCACGAAGGCCAGCGTCCTCTCGGAGAACGTCCGTTCGGGCAGGCAGAGGGGCACCACATGGTCAGTGAGGACCACGGGCTGCTGCAGGCGGAGCAGCGCGATGTCGTGGTTGGTGGCGCCCAGGACATACGTGCTGGGGATGATGACCTGCGCCACCCGCCGGCTCTGCTCATCCCCTTCGTGCTCGCTGAGGTCGTGCTCGCCTGGAAGGAGGGAGCCTTGCTCAGGCCCATCCCACTACCTGCTGCCTGGCCCCCTGGTGCATGGGGACGGGCTGTGGCCATTTCTAGGTCTGCAGGGGCTGCAGTCTCCTTTTGGGGTGAGGGGGGCCTGCATCCAACCCCAAGGTGACCTGGCCAGCCTGCCGCAGGTGGCAGCCTGTGGCTCACGTGGGGACGTGTGAACTGGGGTGAATCTGGGGCCTGGGCGTTGAGGTGGGGAAGGGGTGCTGCGACCTGGCAGCTGGGGGGGCAGGGTGTGCCCTGATTCTCCACAGTTCTTCCCAGCCAAGTGCCCTCCTGGGAATGTTCATCTCACCTGTAAACCCAGTGAGCACAGTCCCTGCCACCCAGTGGTCCCACGAAGCCCTGGGAGTTGCATCCTCCTATGGGCTCTTGGCCAGGTGAGGCAGGATGGGCAGAACCCCTGTCTTTTACCATTTTATTTGGGCATGGGAAAGTGGCTGAGAGGACGGTGGCCACAGCAGTCATGCCTAGCACAGTTGCTCCCCTTTTGGAGATGTCTGTCTGTCTGTGGAAGTGACAGCACGAAGCCCAGAGCTGCGGCCCCTGAGACACTTGAGAGCCGTGGTCAGACAGGGGAGAGTGGCGCCTACTCAGCACCATCGTCAGACGGGAGAGCGGCGCGTAACCAGCACAGCAGTCAGATGGGAGAGCAGTACCCACCCAGCAACGCGGTCAGAGGAGAGTGGTACCTACCCAGCACCGCGGTCACACAGGGGAGAGCGGCACCTACCCAGCACCGCGGTCACACAGGGGAGAGCGGCACCTACCCAGCACCGCGGTCAAGTTCCTCCAGCTCTTGATTTTGTCGAAACAGTGGGCCGCAGAGACCACCCAGATGGTGTTTATCAGGGTCCCTCCACACAGCTGAGCTCCATTCACCAACAACAGGACCTGGGCGGGGGGACAGGAGACATGGAAGTCACATTACTGTCATTGTTTCTCTGATGACTCGCCCTCCCGGGCACGCCAAGGGACCTCTGGCATTGCACAATTTGTTTCTGAAA